TGCCCAAACGTGACGTCACACAGTGACAGATGTTGGCTTCAATATATTTACCGTACGCCGCGTCTATTAGTTTATATGGTCGAAGGGTATTTGCATAGACCTATATACTTAGTTCATAGCCTATAGGTCTATGTGCATTTGATTATTTGAAGTACGCTTTCAAGCTTTTTGGCCAACACTAAAAAGGTTTAAGATTTAAATGAATCTGAATATTTTGAAAAATTTACTGTGAATGAAAAACATTAATTTATAGATAAGTAATAGAAGTGTTTCAAGTTTCTATGGTTAATATTTTAAAATTAAGACGAAATAATATCAAAAACTGTTGGCATATAAAATAAATATTTATATAGTATGTCAATATCTATAATGTAGTAAAAATTTTAAATTCAATCACTCATAAAAAATATATATGGCTTAAGGCTTTAAGCAAATTTTTTAAGATTCCAGGAAGACAGTTTTGAAGAATTATATATTAAATTTTCAAGCTATTTCACTCACAAACAAAAATTGAACTATTGAAGATTACAAACTTTAAGTTCAAAATATTAAACTTCTATCAACAGCATGAAGTAAGCAAAATATTTTAAAATTTATATCATGTCTAATATAAATATTTGGTGAAAAATTCTTATTTATTAAATAAAAGTTTTGAAAACAACATAATAAATTTAAATGTATATTAGTTGTTTTTTTTAGACAAGAGATCAGCAGTCAAGGATATTGCACATAGCTTTTTCTATGGTGGATGCAGGGGGCAGTAGCTGCCTCTCCATCAAGATTTGCGACATGCAATATTTTGTACTTTAATAACTCTCATGTACTAGTCACTAGATCCCAGAAATTATCTACCCCAAAAATTGAACTATCCGTCTAGCTTCTCCAGACATGATGGTCAGGAACTCAGGAAGTACCTATGATTGTGCCATAATTTTGATATAGGTACACAACAGAATTATTACCTACAATAATTATTCAAAGAAGTAAAAATACTACTATAATATTAATTCATACAAAATAATTGAAAGAATTTTTTTTAAATCCATATGATTTTAAATTATATTAGTAAAAAGTCAATAGTCAATATAGGTAGGTATTAGGTGATTTAATTTTCACTAAATTATTAAAAATTAATAAAACAAATAACATTCAATGTGTTATGTTTTTTTATTTATATACTTATAATTCTGAAGAACATTAACATATTATATAATTCAATTTAAATCATACATGTATAATAATTAGATAATTATCACAACAAAATTATTTTATTGAAAGAGAAGTAAAAAAAATTATAGTGTTAGACTGTTATTGCTTTTTACATGGGTACAGACCAAAATCGAAATCTGGTTTATGAAATAGAAACTGTCCACCTTATTTATTCACATTACTTATTTAAAGTATTATGTTTAACTAATATTAATATTATTTATATTAAAAAAATTACCCTCAGCAATTGATACTAGAGTATTCTTCTTTACATTCTTGTTCAAATGTATCATACATTTTAATATAAAAATAAATTATATTGAGATCATATTATTTTTAAGGCCACATTTTAATGTCTAAAGCATTATATGAACAAATTTAGTTAATTTCATCAACTACCTTTTATCTACCTCCTATACTAATTATATTAATTGGCTTGAATTTCTTCACATCCTCTTTTAATTTCTTCCAAACTAAATCCAGTGAAGCTAAAGCATCCTCCTTGCTGTCATGGCCCTCCTCACTTTGAATAATTCTTTGTAAATGCTGTTCAGACAATAACTTCAAACCCCACTTATACGGAGGACCATATTTATGGGGATACATTACACTTGTATCTACTACATTATAATGAACCATTTTTAATGCTTTTAAATCACTGTCTAAACTATGACCAATTAAAATTGAATCTTTATCAAACATCTTCAATAAATCTTGTTGAACATCAGACAATCTCTTTGAACAACCCCTTAATGATTCCTCAGTAATTCCACTGTATTTAGATTTATAATCAAGTATAGGATTAAAAGGTTTCACTTTGGATTCATACACTTCTTCTCCTTCGTGATTAATGACTGTGACTCGAACAATTTCAGTACCAAATGTAGTATTGACCATTTCACAATCTAGGGCATAAAAATTTGGTATTCCTTCTTTTTTGTCAGATTTTTTACTTTTAGTCACAACAAAATTTTCCAAGGCATCTTCATCAAACTTATCAGGAACATGGTAAATACTTGACTCACAACCAGATTCATGTTGTCTTTTGTCACAGCATACCCAAAATTTTTCATTTTTCGATCTTTCATACTTTAGTTTGCCAGAATGATAAATGCATTTGGTTAATGTAAGTGTAGGCATACCACGTTTATCAACTTCAAACTCACTTCTACAATTCATGCATACAAATTTATCACCATTGCGTTTTTTAGAAAGAGGTCGGTAATAATAAGCATTTTTGGAAATATATGCCAATTTATTATCACCCATTAGTGGAAAACCGTTTTTTTCCAAATCATCTTGTGTTAGAATATATTTCTTCAATAATTCATACAGACATATACCATACATGTGTGAAGGGTAATACGGATTACTTTTAACTTGTAATTGAGGTGATTTATTGGCTTTCATTAAAGATTGAACAATAAGGTTTCTATAAATTCCAGATGATTTAGCTTTACTGTGAACTTCTTCTTCGGTTGTATGGGCTTTATCAATTGCTTCTTCGGATGAATAATGATTAATGAAGGCTTTATAAAGTTTCTCCAAACAACTTTGCCGTAAAGGATTCGGCATATTACCACCGTTTTTAAATGATTTTATTCTCAAATTCAATTTAATATTTGCAGTTATTTCTTTATTGTTTATATTTGAATTTATTGGTGTTTGAGACTCTGTAGTACTTGGTTCAATTTTTGACTGATGAGCAATACGACTTTTAGTCTTTAATGATGGTAAACTAGGATCGCTATTTAAATTAACTGTAGTGACACTTGGATGACTTCCAATAACATTATTTTGAATAGATTGTACTCTGTTTGCTACCATTTCATGAAGGGACTTTGTAGTTCTTGGTCTTATAATTGTTGTAGCATTAATTTGAGCAAATATGCTTGTTGTGGAAATATGAGATATTCGTTTTTTTACTTTAGCTGCTACAACATTACACAATTTTTGCTCACAATCGGAATCTTCTGAACCAAAAAATTCGTTTAAACTTGATTCGATTAGTGCAGTTGACGGATCATTTCCTTCATCACTTGAACTGACTCTGGAACTCACTATATCCAAATTTATAGGATCGGGTTTAACTAATTTTTTTTTTACTTTTTCTTTCACTACTTCTTTTAACGACTTTGGGCCAGAAGGAATGGTAGGTGTATTCATAGTGTCAAGATTATTACTTTTAGTACTTTTATCTCTTGAATGTCTTTTTTCAGATTTTTTCTCGTTATCTCGGTCTTTTTGGTCCTTTCTATGTTCTGGAGATTTATCTCTTTTAGGTTTCTTAGATCTACTTGAAGATTTTTTTGAAGACTCGTGTTTACGTTTTGAAGATGATCTGTGCTCATGACATTTATCTTCAGTCTTATTAGTTTTATCTGAAGATTTCTCAATAACAATAGGTATATATTCTGAAATACCTGTATTCTGTTTAGTACTATCAGTACTAATATCATAAGTTGTTGAAATTCCTTCAGTGTAGTTAATTGATTCTGTTTGCTCTTTTCTATTTAATTCCTTATTACTTTGTTCAAGTTCAAAATCTAAATTTGTATCATTGACACACGAAGGTATATATTCGAGTATGGGAATTTCTTTTTTACCTTTTTCAGTAGTTGAACCATAAGTAGAAGATTTGACACCCAATTCAGGATTCTTTGGCTTAATACATTTAGGTATATATTCAATAATTTTAGATTTTACCTTTTGTTTTAATCTTGGTTCTTCAGGCAACTTTGATTTATCAGATGTAGTGACAACAGGCTTGTTTTCTGTTTCAACAACAATTTGACAGTTTGTATCAGACAAAAAATCCTGTTTACTATGCTTAAAGTGACAATACGGTCGATCGCAGAATGAGCCAGTATAATATGGACATTCAAGAGCCTTGAAATAACCTTTGGAAGGCAACATTTTGCTGAGAATAATATTAATAAAAAATGTAAATGCTCAGTGCAATAAAATGTACATATATTATTACATTCGTTTTTAGTGCTTACTAATCAAAAGTCAAACACATCAATCAGTAACAGCCAGCAGCTCTTCAGTAAAACATAATCAGTTGTATAAACAATTCAAAAAATATTCATACAATGAGTTGTAAGTATGAAATAAAAGTGAATCAGTTGTTACCATTAAATAGTAGTATAAATAAAAAAAAAGTTTTACAAAGGATCCTCGAAATGTTCTATTACTATAATAATAATAGAATTAGTAAAGTAAAATATAGTATGATTGTTAAGCGTTACGGCGAAACTGGCAACTGCGAAAGTACGAATTTGGAAACACAAAATCATGACAAAATATATAATTATGAATTACTAATATTTGATAAGAGAATTCAAGGCACGGACTAAGATATACTTATAGTCTGTTCATTTTAAGAAGCGATTCGGCGGCCACTAGTAAAACCGGTTTTCAAGCGTAAATCAGGTCGCTTCTTATTTTGAACAGGGTATAGTATATCTTAGTCCGTGATTCAAGGCACGGCCATATTATCTATAAGGCCGTGATTCAAGGGGTCAGGGTTCCCAAAATCTACTGCTTATCGTCAATTTGTGAAAAGTGACTTCTTCCTACACTGTACAATGTGTACTATCATTTTTAAATTATCAATTAATAATAATTTATTACTATTAAAGTATTAACGTCTTGCTTGATAGTAACTTTCTGACTTTTTAAATAATTGTATAAGTATTTAGAATAAGAATTTTAGACCGTATTTTAACACTATTCAATAAACAAAACTGCAATAGTTCAATCTTGTTAATAATTATAACTCATAAGAAATGGAAAATATAATGTTCAATAAGGATCAAGAAATGGAGTCTTCTAGTTATAAAGACTACAACTCACAAGAAGATTTGTTTTTAGTTCCAGAACCAAAACGGTCAAACGATCGACATAATTCTTCCGATCCATTTGGAAAAAAAAAGAAGGATAAAAGTAAAAAACAAATCGAAGCAGAAGAAAGAGAAAAAATGAGGTATATTCCATTAAACAATAATAATATGATGATTTTGCTTTACATTGAATTATTATTCTAGAGTCCTTGTATCCAACTTCACCGAAGAACAATTGGATAGATATGAAATGTTCAGAAGATCGGTGTTTCCTAAAGCAGCAATTAAAAGGGTTAGTATTTATTTCATGTACATTATAACAACTTTTTAAGTAATAATCACGCAAATACTAATGTGTTATATTTAAATGCCTAGATTGTACAAACCATTACTGGAAATTCTGTTTCTCAAAATGTTGTAATTGCTATGTCGGGTATTGCAAAAGTTTTTATTGGTGAAATAGTTGAGGAAGGTAAAATGTTTTCTTATATTTGTATAGTCATAATTTTTATTGGGTATTCATTTTAGCTCTTGACATAATGGAAGCTCAAGAAGATTCAGGACCATTACATCCCAAACACTTAAGGGAAGCTGTGAGGCGGCTTAGAAAAACTGGAGCTATTCCATCTTCCAAAGGTAGAAAACTACCGTTTTACATTTAGATCCCTAAAATAAATGTAAACTTATTTGTTAAGCAATTTATAATATTTTTTAAACTTAGCAACTAATGTACATTTGTATTGTATATATTTGACATTTATAGTAATTATTTGTAAAGCATCTAATTATATTGATAAATAACAAAGAATCAATTTATTTATGACATTTATATTCTTATTTGAATCTCAAACATCAAAAAATGTGTTAAAAAAAAATTCCATAAAAAATTAATGTATCCATGAATTGTTTATTTTCTAAAGAGACTTATAAGAGTTTATGACTACGAAATAATATTTTTTTGTTTAGTGATAATTAAGCAACTTATATCTAAAAACATTTTAAAAATTATTATTTTTTTTTTTTTTGTAAAACTTCCTAGTATTGAATGTTTGAGTATATGCCGTCCATGTTAGGAAATACCTGTTGACAATATTATTTTCTATTATAACTTTTCGTTGAAAAATAGAGAATGTGACACGTGTTGTCTCTGTCTTACAAGTGTGTACATAGCAAATTTTACGCTCAGCAGATCACGTTTAGCTCCGTTAGTTTAAAAATTAGAGTGAATTGTCCTCTAAAAAAATGGAAAGGTATGACTATTATCTAGACAATCTCAAAGGCTTTTTATTATATTTTAATTTTAAAGCGAGTTATGAGAATTTTTAAATTGCAAATTGTTTGTACATCTTTAAATACTCATAACTCACTTTAAAATTAAAATATAATAAAATGCCTATGATATTGCCTAGATAATAATCTTACTTTTAAATTTTACAAGATGTTGATTCATTCTAATTTTTAAACCAACAGAGCTAAACGTGTTCTGAGCTGAGTATACAATTTGTAAGACGTGGGTAAAACATCCTCTTAATTCACAATTTTAACTCACTTTTGAAATTATTTAATATAATATATTATAATAAAAGATTGCCATATACCAATTGTTCCAAAGTGCCATTTATCTAATCTTAAATTGCCAATGGTTCTATTGATCTAGAATTCAAAAATTGTCTGGAGAGTGACTCCATTCTTTTATATATTTAAATAGTGATTTGATTTAAGAAGGTCAGTTAATTATTCTTTTACGTTTGTTGGTTTTTTACGATAGTTCAATATTTTAGCAAGTATGATACGTATATAATATAGCGTGAATTAAAAATGGTCATAACTTACTTAAAAACTGTATAGTCATAAAAAAACCAACATACGAACACATAATGTTCTTATCATCAAGTTTCATAATAGACTGATTCACTCTAATTTTTAAACTAACCGAGCTAAACGTTATCTGCTGTGCTTAAATTTGCTTGTTATGCACTTGTAGGACGGAGACAACAAATGTCCGTGTGGCGTCCTCTTAATGAAATATTTTTATAATTTTAAAATAAAAAACTAGATTCAGGAAAATGGTTTTCACGTTTGAGTCAGGGAACTCCATATGCCACATATTATTATGACTTTGTGTAATCGTGGATATCATGATTTATGATGAATAATTATAATTATAATTGTTTATGACAACTATTGGACCTTTTTATACAATTATTATATTTTATGTTTAATTTTATTTTTATTGGTACTTTCATTATTAATATTCGAATATGTCAATATGAATAGCAGAATAGACATTATATAGTCTGAATAGGTGTACACTGATTCATTATTAAAAACTTCAATTGTATTTTTAACCTTGTGTATCAGTTGAAATAATCTTCTCAATTGAAATATTTGTGTAATTATACAGCATACAGAATATCAAGCTCAGAATAGGAGGTAGGATGGGCATTGTCCCGACTCTAGGGTCCCATACTCCCATCTCTTTCTAAAATAAAATTTTCTAATGCACCAGGGGCGGATCTGAAGCTTGGTTAAAGGGGGGGGCGAATTTCGAATAGGAATATCCATGAGTAATATACAAGTACGATGAGTATGGTCAAACCTGGTGGGTGGAGGGGGTCATCACCCCCAGAAATCCGTATATCAATCCGGATCAAATTGTATAATCCGTATACTATAAAATTATCAGTATACATTTTTTCAACCCCTCCCCCCACCAAGAAAAAGCATTTCCTGCTGTTGCCCCGGCAATGAAGACTTGACCGTAGTTCAAGTAATTTATGGAAAAAGAAGTACAACACTTAAAATTAATTGTAGGTACCTTTATTTGTTTTAAATAGCTATAACAATATATTGTTCAAAAATAGGTATAATTATTATAATAATAATTGTACGTTTCTTTTTTTTTCATTTGCAAATCTATTAATTACTTCTTCTATGTTTACAATAATATCTTTATGCGTGTGCAATAAAGCCAAGCCAGTCAGCCTATGTTCGCCCATTCGCGATCTCAACCATGTTTTTAATCTACAAATTAAAAGCAATAAGAAATAAGCAAACATGCAAAGCATTTCGGAATTTAGATGCAGATATTTTCATCTTAAATTAAAAAGCAAAATTTTATTTTTATCATTAGTTATCTGACCTGCGCAAAGTGGATTATCATGAAACGTTGTTATCATTGTTATCATGAAACATAAAGAGAAAAAAAAATAATAATTAATAATTATTAATTTATAAAAATGTATTGTGTAATGTGTAAATCTATAAATCGAAAATATTAAATAAATCTGTAATAAAAAAAAAAGCCCAAGGGGGGGGGGGGGTGATCGCCACGTCGCCCCCCCCATAGATCCGCCACTGTAATGCACACATTCAAAAGAAGTTTAAAAATATAAAATAAATAATATTCATACAACAAAAAAAGGTTGTAATGGATGTGTAATATATGAACTCAATGATAAATCATTGCATACCAATTCTGAGGAGACCTTGTGTCATTGTACCTGTAGTATATGCCACAATACTTGTATAAATAATCAAATTGAATAGTTAAAAAAAAATTAATAGATGATTTTGATCAAAGCCTATGATATTACTAAATACTAAGTAGGTATATAGTATATTGGATGATATTGTTATGATTAACGTAATTTATTTTACAACATTAGTACAGCAGTAGGTTAAATTCATTTTTGCCAAAAAAATTACATTTAAAAATACCATTGTGCCCATAAAATAAAATAATATACTCTAAATCTAAAAGTGTCATACACCCACGAATAATATTTTTGAATTACAGCAAAATAACTAAAACTATCTAAAATCATTATTCTTAGTTTTAATAATATGGAATTTTGTCCAAATTTAAACTTAAATAGTCTGTACAAAATAACTAGAAATATATATTTTAGATTTTTTGGTTACAGTAAGAACTATTTATGAGAATCCTTATTTTAAATTTTCAATCCTTAGCTATAAAAATTAAAAATGTTATAATTTTTTAGCTACAAAATAATTTGAACATTGAACATTTTCAAGATTTTGATAAATTTTGTCAAAATCTGAACTTTAAATACCTATAAAAAATAGATTTTTTATATTTATCAACTGCTATCATAACAACTTATAAAGAACCTACCTATTGTATTATATTTTCAAGCTTTTTGTCCCAACGAATACAATTTTATTGAAATGTATAGAATAAAAAACTAAACATTTTTAAATGTCTATCAATAACTCAAAAAGATTCAAATTATTTAAAAAAAATTTTCATTTATAGAAAATGATAAAATTGCATATTAGTTAATAGTTTTTGAATAACTAAAAAATAAGAGAACCGCTGTATGAGAATTTGTTAATTTACGGGTGAATATCCAATATTCCAATTTCTGACTTCAAATGCTTGTAAAACATGTATTTATTTATTATTTATTCATAATTTACCACAATATTAATAATATTAATATGATCTGCTGTTGGATGTGGAGATAACTACTGGTTTTTACCATAATTTGTCATGAAGTCCCGCTAGTGTCCACCGTTTTAATAGAAAACTGTCGATGATGTACCCTATTGTGGGCTAATATTTCTGTTATAATATGATTTTGACCGATTTACGTTTTTTATTCTTTAATATCTTTGTGTAATTTAATTTATGATCATATTTTAAATCATATATCAAACAATATAAAAACTAGGAAGTATACTTCCTATATTTCGAAACTTTTCGCCAAGTTTCAAAACTTAAGTATTTTTTGTAAGGCAAAACCTCCATATTATGCTTTTCATTGGAACATAAAAGTTCATTTAAGTCCAGAAATTATTTCTAAATAAGTAAAAAGAAAGTTATCATTTATTATAATCATTAACTAAGTATCTAATTAATATTTACTTTATTTAACCTACCATGTGTAAAAACTAAAAAATGTTAACTAAAGATGAAGCATATTTATGAAAAGTAATGACAATATCACATGGCAAATTATGAAAAAACCAGTAGTTATCCCCACATCCAACGGCAATGTTTACACATTTATATGATAAGAATATCAAAATTTTAAATATGATAAAATGTAAATATTGCCGTTTAGGAATGTCTATGGTTTTTAAAATATCATCGATTATCATTGAATAGATAATAATAAAGACACGGTTTGACTCTTAATAATATGTACTATAAATTAAAATTTCAAGGTATTTTAATTTTTAATTATATACTTTTCTTATTTTAAAAAAAATGATTAAAGTAGACCACTCAGACTGTCCATATACCTTCCAGCAAAGCTGGTTGCGATCATCGTTGCTGAATGGTCTCACTGCGGACAGCAGACCACCAGCGGTCTCACGCTCTGGCACATGGGCAAGTCTCATCATCGTGGCTAATGACGACTCCAGATTTGCACCTGGAGGGGACGATGCATACTACAGAAATGATCCTGTGAAGTATGATCTTAATGTTTTCAGTGCCACTGCCCCATATTTATAACAAGTGACGGTTGCTTAACACAAGTAGCGCACTGGCTAGCACATCACATTTCGGTACTATGGGGACTGAATTAATTGACTAAATTATCGTCTGACTCACTTTTTTAGTCAATTATGTTGTTAAATTGATGATCGTATACAAGACAACAGTCGAAAGTTCTGAAAAGTGTCAACGACACCTCTAGCCCCAGAAAATTAATGAGTGTTTGACGGCAGAGCTATCTATCGACGGCTTTCGCCATAACTATCGCTAATACCGACAGTACCGCTAGGCCGTAGCAGTACAATATTATCTATTAATTATAATTTGTAGGTGTCTAAATATTATTATAAGCATGGACCTATTAAATAAAGTTAGTTGCTAAAACGGTCTTCAGTATTAACACAAAATAATATGTTATTGAATTGTATATACGGTTTTTGTTTTTTCATCGATTTTTCGTAAGGTTTTCGTTGTTATGGTTACATATTGATATTTATAATTTATGATTCCAAGACCTTCTTTGAAGAGAAAAAATATCGAGTTTTAACTTTTATTTATTTATAATAAAGATTAATGATCTGTTTTAAATAAAAAAAGGAGGACGAATAGATACCAATCTGCTGTACAGTATCAGTATATCGTATGTGTTCACTGCAGCGGCGTATAATATAAGGAGGGGCCTAGTCTGGGCTTCAGCCCCCCCCCCCCCCCCCCAAAAAAAAAAGTATCGTCTTATTAAATAGAACAACAATATATTTTATTAGGTACTATTATATATACATAAGTTATAATATTTCATAGCCTGATAAAAATAACAAATACGAATTTATTTATAAAAACTGTTAAATGTATAGTAGACAGTTTCCTCTAAGTAATATCTATAGATCACTTGCTATAGCCCACCCCAAAAATTATTTCTATATACGCCACTGGACACTGGTTCACTTTCAAGTGTGTCACTCAGTCACTGAATCTGTTCAATTTTAATTTAATGATATCATTGTGATTGTATACGAAAAACGATTCTGAGCAATCTGAGCTGATATATGGTCTGTCAACCTATGTCTAATAGGTATATTTCATAGACATATAAATATATAATAGAAATTAGAATTATACGTGGGGGTGGAGTGGCGTACTCCTTTCGCCCATGTCTTCTATTCGACTAAATATGATAAAATAGTTCCTTTTTTCACCTAAAAATACGGTAACGGTGTAACTTGCAACATTTTGAAAGCACTGTCTAAAAATGATTTATATTTTATATCATGTTATAACTTATTATAATGATACTAATAAATTCCAGTAATAGCGTGCATGTAGGTATGATAATGCTACACTACAATTTATTATTAATTATTATACACAAGCTTATATTAGAAACCCTATTGAATTTACCATGAAGTTTACCACTTTTGTGTCTGATGAGTGGTGACTATTTTCTAGAAGAAATAATGCTAAATATTCAATTTCAAAGGCGATTTCAGGCTGCAAAAATAGGGCAATTTTATTGTAATTCATAACTTTTTAAAATCACGAATTCAACAGTTATAATAGTTAATAAAATATTTAATTTACTATTAATTAACAGTTAATAGCTTCATGTTGAAAGAAAAAAGGCGATAATAATAATAGCATCGAATCAGCCGTCCTACTGTTCACGGGTCACCTGGGCGGCTGAACACGCACCTAAAATAATATAATTATACTCATAGATATTAGTTATTACATTAGCTACCGGTAGCAATAATGCAGCAGCGACGATATCCACATTTCCACAATAAAATTTTCGAACATACACTGTATATAGGTACACACTCACACACTCGCGTCGCGATCATCCGCGAAAACGCAGATTTTTCGTCGAACGCACATAAAGTTTTCATTAATTATTGTCATAAGATTTTTGTTCTCGAAACCTCAAATTTTTTTAAGTTTCTCACACAATCACACCCGCATATACAAGTAGCACACGCCGTGTTGTTTTTTCATTCGTGTTACTTTATTATTTTGTTATTAATTATTATCATTTCACATTAATTGTCAGCATTGTGTCGTATTTGTGTTACCTAGGTATGTATATGTAGGCAAGCTGCAGCTGGCCAGATCTGCGCTCCGTTTGTTATACCGTGAGTAATATTATTATTGTAATTTGTAAAATATTCGTATAACTATAATAAATCATCATATATTATTCAATTATTGCGTATTTTCGTCCTATTATTTCACATTATTGCTATATACATGCATTGTTAGGCACACATTATATTAGGGCTACCATATTATTATAATTAATTAAATCGTCCATGTAGTTACTAATATCTCCCTTTAATAGCTCAAGATGCAGTATTTTACTAGGTTTTTCAAAAGGATCGTCTACATACAGCTTTAAGCTTTACTTTATTACATATCTGTTATCTATTTAATTTTTGTTCGTCATCTTTGTTGTGATTATAATCTATATTGTGGAATATAATTTATATTTTATTTGTCTGTGTTTGGTCAAAGGCAATTCATCCAGAATTAGTCAATGGACTATTAACTGAGAAGTTCATCGCGACCTCTACGCAGGCTTATAGCTTGAAGAAATGTATGCCAAATGATACACAGTAAGTAGGTATTATGGTCTAATATAGTATGACAATCGTATCTATTCTTAAAATATAATGTTTATTCACACGATAATAATATTTTGTTGTCCGGACATATAATATTAGTTATCATTAATTTAATAATTTTATCAATAAAGATATGAACTTAATGCATTGTAAACCATATTACCTAAACTACCCAAAAATTACAATTTAAAAATAAAAAAAAATTAATAAATTCTTCTAACAGTTATGTTACGAAATCTATTAATTTTTATGAAAATATACAAATAATTCGTATATTATGTATAATTTTTGTAACGATAGTAACACAGCGCTGTTGTCTAGTTTCATTAGGAGTAATCTACGGACTACGATATACCTAGGCTTTGGCTGCATCACCTACTGTATACGCATCATACCTATTATCACCGCAAATGTAATAATAGTGCTGCGGATTTTAATTTACTAATTTATGCCAATAAATACCTTCCGAATAGTTCAGCTCTATATTGTCAAATACACAGAGATATACCAAGTACGCCCTACAGCAATGACTAAGTACCTATATATGCAGACATACAGTTAAATAGTTATTTTCTTATTGCAGATCATCTTTAAGAATACAGCTAGTAATATAGCTCGACTAGCCCTCCAAACCGCCAGGGGTTGAATTATTGACTAAAACATAAACATAAAATGCAGCAGCCGAGGAACTCGAACTTCGCCAAAGTCAGCACAGCGTTGCTGTACGCGGCAGCATCGACGTTGATCACGATAGTTAATAAGTCCGTGTTGACCGGTTACGGGTTCCCATCATACCGGTTTCTGGCCGCGTCCCAGATGCTCGTCACGGCCACCTTGCTGTACGCGGCCAAGCTGCTGGGCCGGGTGACGTTCCCGGATATCGACGGGCGCACGTTCGTCGACGTGTTTCCGATGCCACTGATCCATTTGGGCAACGCGGTACTGGGCCTGGCCGGCACCAAGGAGCTGAGCTTGCCCACGTTTACTGTGCTAAGGCGTCTGGCCATACCGATGACCATGTCGGGCGAATACTACTTTCTGGGTGTCGTGGCCGATCCGATCGTCAAACTGTCCGTGGCCATGATGGTGACCGGCGCTGCCATAGTTGCGGTCGGTGACGACACCGAGTTGAACATAAACAGTTACGCATTTGTGTTGTTCAACGATCTGCTGACGGCCGCCAACGGCGTGTTCACCAAGAGAAAACTGAACGACAATAGGCAAATGGGCAAGTTCGGGCTTATGTACTATTCGTCCCTGTTCATGATTCCACCCCTTCTGATATACTTGTATTTTTCAAATGATCTAGACAACGTGTACAGGTACGTGTATGGTGTATCTACTTGATATATCTTTATTCTTTATACCTGCATAATATAATTCTACTGTACGTGTGTTGTCATTGAACTCGTCCTAAGCGGTTGGACCGATTTGAATGAATTTTTTTGTATGTGTTTGGGTGACGCCCCGGATGGCTTAGATTCACAAATCATCCCCCTAGGTCAAATCAGAGGATGTGCTCAAACGGGGATTTAGAGATTTACGATGGACATTTTTGTTTATAAATGGTTGCCAGGGCCCATGGGTTTTAAAGCTATTATAATAATAATTATTGGTTGCCGTGAAATTAGTGTATTTATTCAATGCATTTAATTTTGTGTACGCTGTGTTTTGATATTATATGTATCGCAATTACATAAATATTGAGCGTATTATAATCACATATAAGTTACCTACATAAAACAATGCTACGTCTTCGTGGATGAGTAGGAAATATTGGTCGACAGACTCGGCATTCAAAATTAGCCCAGCCGTTTAGGAGGAGTTCAGTGACATACTTGGTATAACTTTGATACTTTAGACAAGCACGTAACCAGACATTTTTTTACAAGGGGGCCAACATTTTTCGGCTCCTTTCGGTTTTTTTATACTTAATACCACACATCTCCTTATTAGACAATATCCATGAAAAATAATACTACATTTCAAAATATATTGTCTGTTTTGGTTAAGCATTATATTTTTATAATACATTAATATACAATAGTAAAAATATAATAAATAGGTACCTACCTACTTATTAGTATGAAAAATTATTTATAATATATCAATTAGTTAAATCAAAATGTCATGAATAAAATCATTAATTAATTAAAACAATTTATGAAAACAATGTAGTCACCAAATACCAAAAGTCTAGAAATATATACATTAATATCTCCGATATAATATAATATACTATATTATTATACAGATAGTGTTGAGATTAACAGTGTGCAAATTATAATGCAATAAAACAATATTAAATTTTTAATAATAAAAATAAATAAAATAGGTACTTAACTTTATCAAAAATATTATAGTATAAAATGTTTTAAAAATTAAAAATATGTACCTAGTACCTAATGGCTAAATAATATTCATCTATTAATTAATACAGATTAAAGGTCCCCACACACTGCAGCGGTGACGATGGCGGTGGCGGTGAATTGCTGTAGGACACATTTCACCGCTCACCGCGGCGGTGAAGCCAAGACAATAAAATTTAACGCCACCGCCACCGCTGCAGTGTGTGGGGACCTTAATAGGGACCAGGTACCTACTACCTATCTAATATTAGAATATCCAAAAGTATACATTAATATATTATTAACTAATGAAGAAATAACTAGGTACAAAAATAATTAGTAAATATAAAATGTAGCCATGTAGGTAAATAAGACTTGGGTAGATAATATTTATCGAAAGTATGTATAATTATTGTACTTACCTTTCTCGGTTTTTAAGTTTTTTGGGTTATTAAAATAACTTATTAAAGCTCTCATCATTATTTATTGGTTCTTACACTTGTGCTTTGTGAACAATATGAACTGTATAATACAATATATAGGTACTGCGACATAAGCACGCTGCGTGATCAAACTTGAAACTCAAACTCGATAGAGAATAATATTATATTGGGACATATTATTTTGTTAGGCTTGTTTATTTTATTTTATTGGTTCACTATGCTGGGTGTTGCACTATAAATGTGTCAAACTTCTAGAGGTGTTTCTTCACCTCAATTGGAACAAAAAAGTCCTTATGACTCCTGCCTTAAAAAATAATTGTTGTTAGATAAAACTGAAATTTTTTAAAGTTATAAAAAAATTCAAAATTGTGTTATTCTTTTTACCCAAAAAATCAGGTAGGAACCTTGTAAGACATGTTTAAACACCATGTTTGTTAGACACCTAACCTAACCTAATCCCAATTTTATGAGCTTTTCATCAATGTATTCAAATTAATTGTAGTACCGACGGTTTAGCAGATATAAACATTATTAGGAATCAAACTTGCGTTTAACCAAAAAAACACAAACATGGAAATTGGAAATTATCACCCTTATTATTGTCTATTGATAATTCGATTATGGTCAGGACTTTTTTTTGTTCCATTTGAGGTGTAGAAACGAATTGAACGAACTTTGAATAATATAGAGTTGGTACTTTTAACGGGAAACGAAGTGCACAGGATCAGCTAGTATAAAATAAATCAGTTAAGCTCACGTTATATAATCATAAGAAATATACTTCTTTAGTTGCTACATTTAGGTACCTAGGTATTTTTACTTATCTGCAGAAATAAATACACAATGAGCAAAATCATTTTTTTTTAAATATTGGGTTTTCTTATAGTTATATGTACCTAGGTACGTATGTGGTAGGATATAGGTAGATACTAGTAATAATATTTTATAAAACTGTTTCCAAAACGCGGCATGTAAAACGCATGGTGAATTTACGTTTAATGTTTATTGTTAATGTTTATTGTTATGTTAATGTTTATTTTCTTCGCAATGTTCCCAGATTTCCATAAGGTTATGTATATTTTGACCTAGTTAGTGTTTTTCATTGTTTATACATAATTAAATATCTCCAGTTTATAAAACTTGCACACTTACGTAATTACTAGTTACCTAGTTTTTCCCAAACATATTACTATTATATTAAAAACATTAAAATATATATTATTGAACTTTGATTTTAATGTTCTTTATACCTATATGTATAATATATTTTATACTATACACCATATACTTATACGGCTATAACTAACTGATCTTTGCAGGCCATCTTCCTCAGAATATTACAAAGACCTGGCTATATATATAATATATATAGTGGCTACCAATGTACCTTTCTACATGTATTTTTCAGATTCAAGTATTGGTCGCATCCGCCGTTTTTAATTCAAATGTTCGTTTCATCTATAATGGGCTTCGTGTTAAATTACAGCACAATGTTGTGCATTCAGTACAATTCAGCCCTAACGACGACAATAATCGGATGTCTTAAAAATATATTTGTCACTTATGCAGGCATGTTTGTTGGTGGTGATTATGTGTACACGTTCTATAATTTTATTGGTATTCATATCAGTATTATTGGAAGTCTATTTTACACCTATGTGACAATGTCACGTACTCACGTTTAGATAATCTAAACAGCCGATGAGACAAAACATTAAGTACCTACTATTAAAGATGTATGTATAGACTTTTCATTATTATATTTCTTGGATTTTTGTATCGAATATCGATTATATAACAATATTATGTACCTACTTTAATATATTCACCTTTAAAATTACGTTGTTTTATAATTTCTTGACTAAATTATTATAGATTGTACAACGATATGTAATTATGTAAATATTGTAATATTGTAATATACTTATATACATATTATATAGTACCTACTTGTTTTTAATATTTATTGTGCATAGAAAATATGTTTATATACCTTTATTTACATTCAGTATACACATATTATATTCATATTATTATAATATATATGATGCATTGTGTACAAAATTTGTTCTCAGGGGGGATATGACCCCCACATGACCGCCACTGTACTGTATAGTGTATACGTAAAATCGTAAACCTATATTATTATGTATACTCGGGCTATACACATTGTTGTAAAGTATATTTGAGTAAAAGTATTCAAATACTTTTTAGTTTTTTTTACTATTGAATAGTATTTTATTGAATACTTTTTTTTTATTTTTTTTATTCTTAATTTGTTTCCACTTATAATAATTATATTCTTGTTGAATAAAAATATCATACCGTCGTGGTTTTGCTTTAACATTATAACAATATAATATTACCTATATATTTATCATTTATGCCTTACAGACATGGGCTAAATTTCAACTTTTGGTTCAGGGGTGGGGGAATGAATATATTAAAGGGAAGCAGGCCATTGCAATATAGCATATAATAATTTTATGTCCTAGGTTTTTTTTCGGGGGCGCCTATGCTTACAGACAATTTGGTATCGGGTTTCGTCGATTAAATGTTTTTTTCTCTAGGACTCCAGGAGACAGTTTATTGTCAACAAAGATCGAAAAGATACATCTGTAGTCGGTATCACTATATTAGCTTAAGAGGGCTCCAGTCGATGAAAAAAAAGTGACTTTTATACCAATAAGCTAGACAAAACTGGACGAATTTGGTTCGACAGATTTTAATTTTGAAAATGGATTATGATTGATTAACAAGTTTACTAGGTTATGCTAGAGGCGATTTTTAATATTACAATTATTGTTAGTGTCATGATGAATACTATAAATAGGTACAAAAATATTATATTTTTTATTCTTGGATATCACAGTGCTGAAAAAATAAATATTCAAAATCGCCTCTGGCATAACTTAATAAACTTGTTAATCAATCATAATCCGTTTTCAAAAATAAAATCCGTCACACCAAATTCCTCCAGTTTTGTCTAGCTTATTGGTCTAAAAGTCACTTTTTTTCATCTACTGGAGTCCCCTTAAGTCAATAACAAAATATATATGTATAATATATATAAAGCGTCTGCTTATATTATACTTTATAATTATTTAATTATATGATGATATTATTATTAATTATTAGAACCACGATGTAGGTAAAACATTTACCTACATCGTGATTAGAACTTACTACCTATTTACCAAGAAATTTGCTATCAATAATTATTGATCAGAATTTTGAAATGCAATAAACAAATTTTTGATTATAACAATATATTTCAGAACTAAAAAGTAAAGGCTCTTTCAAATAGAAAGCGTTATTTTCACGTCGTGTGATTTTGTAATTTGTTCCAACGCGGCGTTATTCACGCGCGTGAAAGCACCACGCCGATGAGCCATTTACCGCTTTAACGCACGTTATAACGCTTTCTGTTTGACAGAGCCTCAAAAAGAATTTTTTTGTATTTGAAGATTATTTCAAATACTTTTAAAAGGTATTTTTTACAACACGCTATCCTGCAGAGTGCAGTGCCGGCTGGGGTTGGTTCATGCTGTGCAGTTGCACAGAGTCCCGCGCATTGCAAGGCCCCGCGATCTGTTGCAAAATAAATTATTAGATCCATAGTAAGTTCATGTATTTATACTTCATCTAATGAATCAGATTCATCGATAGGCTTAAAATCGTATTATCACTGAAGCCCAAGAGTTACAACCAAAATCCAATTAATAATAAAAACATTTCGCACATAGGTAGCCCAGATATTCATAAAGCCGGCCCTATAAATGTTTCTTTATTAATAATTAATAAATTTACGGACGGAAGCTCTTGGAATATAATATTATGATTTAAATACATTGTCAATAAATATTATAACATAGGTACCTATCTACAATGTATATAAATTATAAACACAAAACACGATATTATGTTACTTAGGTTAAATTGAACCGCAAAGAAATACGAATGTATTGGTTTTACAATGATTGAATGATGCATCATTTAGCATCAAGCGTGTATTTTTTTATTTTTTTTTTGTATATTTTGTGTCTGTTATCAGTATTTGAGGTAAATGCTTCGATTTTCAACATCAGTATCTTGTTCGATGGGACACTTCAGACAGTGATGTTTATTCAAATGTATTCGTAGAAATTGTACTTACCATTTACTAAATTATACAGTTAGTTATAAAAGCGTATAAAGTTTGGTTACCAAAATTAATTTATTATAAAAAGTAAAATAATAAATAACCAATATAAAATTATATCTCATATATATATATATATATTCCGGATCGGAAGGTACAAATTGTTTCCACCAGAGCGCGTATCAGCTTGTTTTACCAACACAGACTTCTATACTACCGTCTACCACGATTAAAGATATATCTTTAATCGTGTATACTACACAGACTATATAGAAATCTGTGTTTACCAATAGCATCCAATAGATAATATAGGATCTACTATCTACTATCTATTATAATCTGTGTTCAGCATTTTATACTTTCTGTAGAAGTAGCCCGTAGTCCGTACTCACTATTTTGTAGACTGTAGGTTGTAACTTGTTTTAGGTATTACAGATTAATGATTACTATTGTCTATTACCTACTAATTACTATTTACCTACTCGTAAATAGGTACTAAATTTCTTTACTCTTTACTCTTCAATCTCTAGTTGTTACATATAAAAGAGATTGGTTGGTAAATCACATTAAAACCATTTAAGTTGATAGGTATATATTTAATCTATTGATAATATGCCTCGTCTATCTGTAAGTATAGATTTAATGTTTGATTAAAATTAAATATAATATATTATATTATATTGTGTTTACTATATTATAGAAAGAAGAAATTGCCAAGCAATTTATGCTTCCAGAGCGTAAATCTAAAATTGCAACTTTACTTAAACAAGATGGACAAGCATATTGTATTTGTCGATCATCAGACAGTTCTAGATTTATGATGTGAGTATTAAGACTGAATAATTTTCTTTTCAACTTAAGAAAGATCATGAGGTGTTCAATTAATATCACTTAGGGCCGCTTTCACCAAATACTTTAAACTTCGATTACGCTTAATCGACTGATAACAGATATTTAACCGGGCAAATTCGGCCGATTAAACCCCGGTTTAACTTTAATCGGAGTTTAAAGTAGTGGTGAAAGCGGCCCTTAATGGTCCATCACTATGGGTGCATTATATGCATAATACAAATCATTATATTCCTGAATTATTTATTAAATATTTATTATTGCATTTAAAGTATAACATGGCTCATGAGCATAATAAAAAAAATTATATAAAGATGTTTTCCTAATTTTTTACATATATTTAAAAATTGATAACTCAATGTTTTTAATAAACACGATTTTATGTTGCTGATTGATAATGATTAACGCATGTTAATTGTAAAACTGCTTTTGATAAATATATTTAAAATATGTTATTATTATTAATTATAGTGGATGTGATGCGTGTGAAGATTGGTATCATGGTGATTGTATTGGAATAACGAGAAAGCAGTCTAAACTCATCAAGCATTATTTTTGTGATGTATGTCTATAATCAATATTTCGTAATTTTGTAAATTATACTATAATAGTACTGTTACAAAATTGTCTATATTGTTTTTAGAAATGTAAATCAGAAGATGCTTCGTTGAAAACAATATTTAAAACTTCATTAAGTCGTAATGATTTTAAAGAAAAAAATGATCATTATGTTGGGAGCAAACGAGGTAAATAAACTATACAATAAAATCTATAAACTTGGGGTCTTGGTTTAATTTGTTTAAATATCCATTTATCCATTTTTGAGGGAATCATTTTAGATAATATTATTATCATTGAAATATTAAAAGGGGTATTTTGTATTTGCAATAAAATAGTAAGTGTACCAGTGGCACAACTAAGGCTAAAAAGTTGAAGGTGGGCTATAGCCCACCACCTGATATTACATGAAAAGTAACCCATGGTGACGATGTCCTCCCCTTCTCATGTAAATTAACTTAAAAATATAAAAAAATCATACAAACAAAAAAACAAATATTTGTCTACTTAAGTTTCATTTTTTAAAATAATAATATACCTACTGTCTGTGGTAATCGGAATAAAAATTACCAGACTACAATATTACTTACAAGTTACAACCACATGAAAATTATTGAACAAATATTTTTTTTATCTCTAATTTGTAATTAGTGTAATAACCACATTGTTAAACTTCTAAAGTACACTATTATATATCTATGGAGTATGGACTATGATAGTATCAGGGTTTGTTGTTGACGTATAACGCATTATAAGTACCTAATGGATATTGTGATATGGTTAATTTAGAATTTATTATAGGTAAATTTTTTTTAATACCATAGATAAGTATATAATATGTCTTATACCTAGACTGACATACCGTCTCCGCTCAGAATCGTTTTTCTTATACAATGATATATCATTGAATTCAAATTTAATACTATCCATTGTACAGTGACCCCCTTGTAACCTACTGTACAGCAGAGCACCTTTTTATATTAAAAGTTCCTACACAGGATACTTTTTTGAAAATTTTAGATTTTTGATTAGATTGACAAATTCATTTAAAATGAATTATAAGTTGAACCAACTATGGTGCCTCTGACTAAAAATATACAGTATTTTTTAGATAACAGATTTAATAATTTATTAAGAATCTAATATTAATATAACCACATTTATTTGTATATTAGATAGTCGTGAAAAATATCGACCTAAACACAGATCTTGCGGTCATTGTGAAAATTGTAAACGAGTTGAAAATTGTGGTTTATGTTTGGGATGTTCTGAAATGCGAAGATTTGGTGGCTCAGATTTATGTGAAAACAAAACATGTTTAAATGTCAACAAACAAGTAAAATACTCAGTTATTATTATTCGATACTGAAATTATAATGTGTTATTCATCACAGGAAAATAGGCCATTATCCAAGTCTGCTAAGAGAAAACGTAAGGATTCCAGTTCTGATGGTGATCATGTTAGTTTACCATTGTTAAACCGTGATCATTGCTATGGTCCTGGATGTACTCAAATAGCAAGGTTTAATTCCAAGTATTGTTCAGACAAATGTGGTATGAGTTTGGCTAATGCTAGAATTTTTCATGTAAGTCTAGTACCTATATTTATTAATCATAAATATTCATATGATTTATTGATATTATTTTAGGTACTTCCTCCAAGACTTCAAGAATGGGCTTTATCACCATGTGTTGCAGAAGAAACAAATAAAAAAAACCTAGAAGTAGTTAGAAAAGAACAACTAGAAGTTAGAGATATATTGAAGGAATTGGATAAGAGACATAAAGTAATTATTTATTATGTATCTTAAATATCAACTATCTCATCAGTTATACACAATATGTCATTCATGTTTGCACCATAAATGTGCATGGAAGGTGTGGGGGTTAAGGCATTTAATTACCATTTTTTTTTATTGTTTTAATGTTAAAAAAATATGAAAAATTATATATACACACATTACACAAAAAATAAGTCAATGTTTATTTTCTCAATACAATTTATCTTATAGTTAATTTTTTTAAAAGAAAAATATAATATAGCAAAATTAGTAGTGAATATAATAAATATTTTAAACAATTTTAAGGAGCTCGACAAGTTATTAGAAAAAGCAAAATTGTTGTCTGTTGATGTGAATCAAGAAGTGCAAGATATCGATGAAGAAATGAGTATGCACTGTGTTACATGTGGACATGAAATACATACAAGAACTGCTGTGAAGCATATGGAAAAATGTTTCAATAAGGTTTGATTTTATAACTCTTGCATTGAATAATGAATATAGTTATTTATTTTTGTTTTATTAATAATTTAGTACGAGAGTCAGTCATCGTTTGGTTCAATTTATAAAACTAGAATCGATGGCAACAATATGTTTTGTGATTTTTATAATTCTTCACAAGGTACTTATTGTAAAAGATTGAGAGTTTTATGCCCTGAGCATTTTAAAGATTCAACTGTCATTAGCGATACTGAGGTAAAAATATTTGTTTTGAAAATAATAAGTATGATTTATTTATAATTATTTTTCACTAGTATAAAATATTTTAATGCATTAACATTGTTCTTGTTTTTTCTTTTGTATTACTCCTATGTATAATTTATTAATATTTAAATATATTTGTTTATATTTCAGGTATGTGGCTGTCCGCTTGTTTCAAATGTTTTCAACTTAACTGGAGAATTTTGTCGTGTGCCTAAGAAAACATGCATCAAACACTATTGCTGGGATAAATTAAGGAGAGCAGAAATTGATATGGAAAGAGTTCGTCAGGTAAACTATTTTTTTTTTTTTAATTATGTTTATTTAGTTGATTGTGATTAAAAAAAATTGAAATATTGCAAAGCTGATTCATACAATTTTAATGCATTGATATATATTTTTAAAAATTACACGTTTACACAATTCAAATGATAATTTAAAGGTTGATCATTTTCAAAAATCAATGATAAATTATTGCATTAATTATAAACCATTTTTTGCAAAACTGTAATTTTTGAATTTTGAAATGTTTTGAATATATACCAATTAGGTACTAAAAGTGAATAAGAAAATGTATTAACTATGTGCTACAATTTTAGATACTAAGCGGAATTTTTTTCTAATTTAAATTTTATAACTATCAATTTTTTAAATTTTCAACAAATGTTTATAATACCTATAATATTTTTTCTACAGAAGGCATATTTTTAAAAATATTTTGACTGAGCTATTTATAGCATTTAACATTTTCAATTGTTTTTCTATTAATGTTGATAAAAAAATGTTTGATCAATCAAAAAATTTAAAGATTTAACATATGGTTCCTCATAATCTATCGTTATTGTAGATATTTAAAAATATTAAAAGTACAAGAGCATTATTTTTTTTATAAGCATTTCAAGTTCATATTTTTACAAAATTCAAATATTTAAACGAATAATAACAATTTTAGTTATTACTTATTTTGTTGTAATTTATATTATTCTTGAATACTTCATACTTGAAACTCCAATGTATATTATTATTTATTATATTTTATACACACAGTATTTTCAAATGCAATGTTTTCGGCAATCCTACTTTATTATTTTTTATTAATGGTAAATAAATTACATTAACAACAATTTATTTAAATATATCATAAAATATACTTAGTAATACAAGCTGATCATCTTATGAAATGATTTATCTTTGAACTAAAATTTAACTTTTATTTCAGTGACTTACTCATAGACAAGTTATACTCGACGCCTACCATACTGCTAGTGGTTACCTCTTCCCCTTTTTAGTATTTTTCCTATTTTTAAATAAAATGTTTTTTAATGTTTCAGTGGTTGAAATTAGACGAGTTGGTTGAGAAGGAACGACAGATACGTTATAGAATGTCTTCAAGAGCGGGAGTCTTAGCATTAATGCTACACTCTACTTATGACCATGAATTGATGGAACGTTTAACAGCGGAGGCTAAAAATTCTCAACATCAACGGGAAAACAATTCTTGTGTTTCTTCAAAATCAACAAACTTATCTGATGAATAGTGTTCAATGTGAATTTAAAATAAAGAACAATGACCTCTTTGGATTTATTCACACCAAAATTTTCTTTAATTGTATTGATTTTCTTTTTTGTATTCCGAATTTAATACTGAATTTATAAGTCAATCACATGGTTTGTTCATTGACCTTGCTGTTATATTTATTAAATTCATGAATAATTCAATAGTATGTTTTTTGATTGACTCTTTTTCACCCTGAACCGAGTACGTTTGTCATTGTGTTGCCGAGAACCTTCTCGGTACAACTTCAGTAACCGTTGGATCAGTTTCGATTAAGGACATTTTATTTATTTATCATTTTATCATTAAACGGTAAGTTACTTATAATAGTTACTTGTTATTTTTATTTCTTCATACCTACTATTAATATTTACTTATTTATAAGAACACTGTAGTATGTGTTTTAATGGGCAAACTTGTGTACAAATTTAAAAGTAATTTGATTTATTATTTTATTCTCATCAGTTTTTAATTCTTAAGTTATTTTCTTATTTTTTCCTGAAGTAATTATTTACGAATAATTGATAAACTCTAAAATCTTAACATTCATAAAGATTGATAAATCATTAAGTTAATTAAAAATATTCTAAATTAAATTTAAAACTATTTTATTGTTTCACTTTAATTTGTATAAAAATGGAATAATTAATATTTGTTATTTACATATCTATACAGAGTTAAAATATGATACATTTTATGTACTGAACAAATATGTAAAATACAAATTTTATAATAAAAACCGTAGGATAATTTTACTACATTATAATACTATAAGATTGTATTAAAATATATACTTTTATTTGACACTTGTTGAGGTACTTATTGATAATAATTATTGACTTGATTATATTCTGTAAATTAAATGTACTTATGTGTACTTTGTATTAATAGGACTCATACTGGCATATGTCATACCCATCTTATAAACTTACAACATAGAAAACTTGTCTTCAGTAGAACCAATTTTGAGTTATAAGCTATAATATTATATGAGTCTTACTATTTTACAATATTTTAGTTTTAAATGAGTTATGAGCATATTTTTAATTAGAATATTTTAAATACTCATAAATCATTTAAAGTTTGAATTATCATAAAAAAACCTTTAAGTATGATATTAGATCAATTCACACAAGTAGTTCTGTTGAACTCAAATTTACTATGTTGGATATTTGTTAGGCAGACAACACATGTAGATGCGATGTTGACATCCTCGTAATAATCACTAAAAAAGTACAAACGTAGGTGCAGACTTTTCTGAATTAAATACGGATCACCAAAAAGTAAAAAAGTCATTTATACTTAACTCTGTTTTTATTAAAAATATTTAAGAATTACATTTGTTGTTAATTGTATGGAATAATGTCTTGTGGGTTGTGACGACTATGATAATCTAACTGAATGTTGTCTTACCTAAAAATTTGAGTTTCTGGATAGGTAATCAATATAATTTTTTTGAGACCTACCTACCTACTTTATTTAATAAAACATGAATAAAATGTTAATTTTAGTAAATAAGACAATGTCAAAAGAATCCCTAACAAAACTTAATCAGTAAAAATAGACAATAGTACTACCTTGCCTATATTATTACTTAAGTTTATTTATAAATAATATACAATACTTAGATATTAATGAATGAGGGATTGTAAATTAGAATAATTATGGTAATTTATTTCGGTAAATTCAAATAAATAGCATTAAAAGTAGGTATAATTGTACATTCGTACCTAATATGGTTCATATATTCTCTCCAAATTATTAAATAACATATTAGACAATGGAAAGTGTGGATTATGGTAAATTTATTAGACTACAATGTTATTTTAAAATCAACTTTCGATTTCTATATTAATTTAAAAATATTAATTAGAATAGACATATCAACATGTTTGGTAGGTACCTACTATAATTTCCTATATAGATAGGTACCTATAGAATAAATAAATACTTAGTCAGTCGACAGACACTATTTAAGTAGTAGAATGCAGGTATGAGATTGATATGGATCTCATAATGCTAATATACCGATTCATTACTATTTAATCACCCAATATAGGTATGTCAAGTATCAACTAAATAAAAATGTATTTAAACAGTTAATGATCAGATGGAAATCACTAAAAAAATATTTTTAATAATTCAACTTGGGACTCAATGCGTGTCACTTTTATTTTAAGATACCTAATAACTGAACGCAATTCGTGGGACTGGTATGCATTCGTCACGAATGATTTGTATGAAATACATATTTCGCACTTATGTCATACGGTAGCTAGAGCAGGGTCCGGCAATTAGTTTCCAAGGGGCTCTGGATAATTTGACAAAACATTTTAGGGGCCTAGAAAATCTCTTTCTTTTTTTGCTTATTAAGTTATTTTGGGTCTACACAGAAACGAATAATTAAAAAAAAAATCAGCATTCAAGTAAAATATTTTTGACGACCCCGGGCCGCCTATTGCCAAACACCCCCGCCCTAGAGTCCAAATAGATAACAGATAACACAACAAAGTATATTGTAATTTATTGTAATTCAATTTATTCTGTGGATGGATACCACCTTACACCAGGCTATTCGAGTAAAACTATTTAGAATTAGGTTCAATTAAGTTCATTGATTACGTGTTTTTATAATCGATTTTATAATTAGATACCCACACCGTACACATAATAATATTATAGAAAAATAATAAAAAATACTTAATAAAATGCATTAATATACCTATCATACAATATTTTTTTTTAATGTAGGTAGATAGTTAATATTAAAAGGATTTGAATTTGATAGGTACTTACCTAATTTTATTGTTACTCCTAATTATTTTATATCTACGACATGCCTATTAAGTTTTTGAAATGTAGATATATATATAGGTAGGCCTACATTACGTAGGCATACAATATAAATAATATATGTTCCTAATGGTTAAAGTCAAACTTTTATTTATTTTTTAACTATTTATACAGTTATATTTTTGGTAACGATATACACAACAATAAATAAATAATATTATAAATATAACATTTTGGAATACTAATTTCCTATCTATTATTTCATAACTTCTATTTAATGAAGTAGTACCTAAGAACCTATTAAAAATAGATACCTAGTTCATAAACACTCAAGTGCCAGATATTTTTTTAAATTTTCATAACTATTTTACTCAGAACTCATCGTACTGTATAAACTCAGCCATAATTATTCCGTCAGAAAATACATTTTCCTATTTAAATAATTTCAATGCATATTATTATAGTTTCATAATATCGTCCGTACCCATATACAAGCCGTCCATAGTAAAAGATAAATTATTCGTTCGTTGATTAGATGATCTACGACCTTAAGACCTTTTACGACTATATACGACCCTATATACAAATAACTATATATATGTTTATATGCAAATCAATGGCACATCCTGTGATCTATTAAATTAATGAATAAACATGTGTTGTAACATCGAACAAATGTTTTTTCTCAGTACTTATATCCATTATGTTTTTGGTGTGTCAGGTGCTAATGACAATAATTCCGTAATTTTAGGTAAACCAATATGTCGCGACAACAAGCTATTGATCTTAAGATTAAAACAGATAGGGAGATAGCGTTGAGGGCAGGCCGCCGTTTGGTAAAATGTGATCCAGGCGATGAAATCGTTATATCCGGGTTTTCTGGATCTTTTCCAAACTCGGACGGTCTTCCAGATTTCGCGGACAATCTTTTCAATAAAGTGGACTTAATATCTGATGATAACAGAAGATGGACTATTGGTAAAAAATTGAATATTGTTTACATTATAAATTACCTATGGTTAAATACTATAATATTGTCGATTTATCTAATATACCTACCTGTATATTATTTTAGATCACCCGGAAATCCCACAGCGAACTGGAAAACTGAATCAAGTAAATAAGTTCGACGCAGCATTTTTTGGGGTTCACTACAAACAAGCCCATACTATGGATCCTATGTGTCGTATAATTTTGGAAAAATCATATGAGGCAATTGTGGACTCAGGTAACAAGCTCACAAATTTAATATAATTCTTTCATTCTATATTTCTATCTTATTTAAAAAATTAAAACAAGTTGGTATTTGTGTATCTTTTTTATCATGGAGTATCTCTTTTATTGAAGATCGTCAGCAAATCGTAGCTTACAAAGAAAATTGGTCTACTTCAATACGTGTTACCTACATCGCGAGTTCCTCAGGGGTCCCATTATTTAGCACCAATATTACTTCTTGTTTTTATTAATGACATTCATTTCCAAAACTGCACTAAATTAATGTTTGCTGATCATATAAAAATATTCCGTACAGTTAATAATCAAGTCGAAATAAGGAAGTCGTGCATTCTTATTTAACCAAAAAATTAACTAATTATTCAAGCAACTCCCCCCTCAACAGAATATAAAAACTATAGGTAAATGAGTTGAAAATCGATCTGTTCATATTATCACCAAACGACCAAACTTCAACACTTTTAAAATGTATTGTATAATACCATACTTGTAAATTCATAGCTATAAGTAGGTATAGGTATAATGTATTTCGTGGTTTTTTCTTTTTAATTATTATTAATGAACGATTGTTATTATATAAAGACATAAAGTATGTAATTGGACCTGGGCGATTGGCTCGTTCAAAACTTAAATAAATAAATATACAGTGGAATATCAATACTTCAAATCAACCATAATTTGAAACTAGGTTATTCGAATGAATTCGAATGAATACTTGGTGCCTTGAAAATCTGGTGGTAATTCGAAGGAAAACAATGCATTTAGATACTCTCCTTCACTCAGTTGGTACCTAATTTGAAATAAAATTTAAGGCGAACAAGCCGCCAACTGCACGTGACAAATTTAAGTTCTTTCCATCAAACTATATTGGTGATTTAAAATTGTTTCACCATGATTAAGTGTTTAAAGAGTACACTTCATAATTAACTAGGTATTATAAACATAGCACGTTTTTTTTAACACCAACGAAATATTATCGTACATTATTGTTATTATCGTATATTATTTCTTAATTTATTATTGTATCTTCCAAGTAAACATTTCAAATCTATAATATGTCTAAAATACGTCTGATGTATATATGTATTTTCATAGAAATATTAGAATCTATAGATTAAAATAATAAAATATATGTTTATAAGATATCTAAGGAGGGTCTAATCGTCAATTGAGGCCTTATTCATAGACGTCGAATATACGTACCTATGTGAATATTTTAAAGTAGTTTTCTATAAGACGTGTGTAGTATTATATGTCTAATAGATGCATATCTATCAGCCAGAACGTAATACATCACAACATCGAAATATTTTTTTTTTAAATGGTAGGTACATTAAAATTTGATTACCTATTAACTGTTATTACACACTAATACATTAGTTAATTATCAATAATATAATTTGGAAATGAGAACATACTATTTTTCAAATAGTTTATTAGGAAAATAAATATTTGCATACTTAAGTGAATTTTCAGTTACCTCCATCAAAAATCATCCTTGAAAGTTGATGGTACATAGTTTAAAAAAAATATCTACTACAAAAAGCACTATTACAAAATTAACTGCACCTGACCATACATAAGGTTTTAAAGAAACTTTAAACATTTTGGTTTTTTAAACAAATAATAATTATACTTGTAACTCTCAAAGTAGTTATTATTTATCTTTTAAAATGAACGGACATTATTTAAGTTATTTAATGGTTAATACTTAATGTACAATTATATTTTGATTTTGTTACATTTCCCCTCTTTTTTATTGATCCTGATTGGCTCTAACTACAAACCAAGTTTTAACTTTTGGTATGATTTTGTATTCCGTTTATTTTAGATGCTTAAACAAGGACATATCTATAAATTATAAAATAAAACTAAGTTTCTTTTTAAATATGTATTTTTAGGTATCTAACGAATAATTATACAATAGTAAAATCTAATTATTTTAATATTTTTTATAAATAATGATAATTTATTTAACAGACAACAGGTCCAGCCAAGTAGCCGTTTAGGCATAAACATAATACGAATATAAATTATACGTATATAAATAATTTACTGAAAAATTCGAAATAATTTTGTTGCTAATCTAACCTAACCCAACCTAATAAATTTTTACAAATATATCTTATAGATTCACGATACAACCACGTAGATATATAATATATCCTACCTACCAACCTAAAATCTCGACGTCTTATATACGCTATAATGAGTGTTTATATAATATTTACTGGGTTATGGTATTTTAAATTATGAGGTGACAAACCTGAAAGTACCTATAAGCTGTACATATGTCGTAGGCATAAAGTAAAGTCAGGAAATTTACTAAATGCCTAGGCAAATTCTCAAAGAATTTAATTTTTATGTGATTTTACTATCTGCTAAGGTAAGTTTACCTAAATGCCTATTTCAATGCAGGCACATAATACAAATGGAACGTTTTTATATTATTGTAAAGTTCAAACTAAATTCTCTTTTTAATTTTTTATAATAATTATATATTTAAATTATCAATAATATATTAATATGTAAGATACGTATGTGATATATTTATAATTGTATGTCCTTAGGTAGATAAAAGTTTAAAACTATTGTTTGAAACATAAATTATAAAAAAGTGTAGGTTAAATACTAATTAGTAATTATAGGTATGATAGTACGAGTATAAAAAATTACTAAAAAGTTATAGTATAGTTAGAAATGTTTGTTAGTTTTGAGTTACTATACTTGTTGTTAGGTACATGTTATAGTTAGGTGGCATTTTCTGGAAAATTAAAAAAAACATTTTAAATACAATCACCAATGGACTAATATTCTAAATCCAAAACAAAAAGTTACGTCCGTTATACGAGAATTTTATCTTTATTGATCACTCAAAGACAGACTTGTATCTATACATCAAGATTTATGGTCAAGGTTTTATCAAATGTCACTGTCAAGCAGGAAAGCAGCAATGTCAAACAGGTGTCATGTTTTTATTTAAAAATATTTTAGATGTTCCCGAAAATGCCACCAGATAATAACATGCAACAACAAGTATAGTAACTAAAAACTAACAAACATTTTTAATATTCTAATATAACTTTTGTTCATTTTTTATACTCATACTCCCTATCATACTTAATTAGTAATTAGTAATTACCTTCACTTATTTATAATTCATATTTCACACCAATAATACATTAATACCTATAAAGACACGAAATTATAAATATTTTACATTACAATAATAGCATATTTAAACATGAAATATTTGTAAGATTACATTTTAAAAGGTAAAAGTCAAGCGATTTACAAATTAAATTAAATTAAATCCGAATTTAATAATAACGAACCAAACTCTAAGATTCAGAGTTATTAAAAACACAAAAACAATCAATTTTCATAATAGTTTAAATTTTAAAATTAAATAATATTTCATTTTTTTTTTGTTATTTAAGGCAATTCCCCGAAGTCATTAAAAGGATCAAAAACAGGAGTATTTGTTGGAGCATGCTTCAGTGAGTCAGAAAAAACTTGGTTTTATGAAAAACTTCAAGTTAATGGATTTGGACTTACTGGTTGTGCTCGAGCCATGCTAGCTAATAGGATATCTTATTGGTTAGGTGTAAATGGTGAGTAATATTTCTTTTTTCAAACATACTTAAGAGGGAGCTGGATTTGCAAAGTCGAAAGTGTTTCCTCCGTCTTGCAAACGTATACTATAATATCAATGTTATACGTTCAGCAGAACCAATTTAAAGTTGTTAGCTTTAATACCAAAGTGAATTAGTGAATTAATCTATTATAAACTTTATAGACATTGATTAAATATATTAAGTATATTTAATCAATGTTATAGATGAGCATAATATCTAATGAACCTCGTAGATCTGTATTGATTTTTTAATTTTAAAGTGAGCTATATTAAATAAGTTATATAGATAGTTATATGTAAAATATTACAATTTTAAAATGCTCTTAATTCTCTTTAAAATATAAATGTCAATGGCATTTTACGATATATCATAGATAAAATCCTTACCAAACATGAGGTTCCTCTTAATGTATAATTAAGTAAATATGACATGATTACAAAATGTGTTTCATATAATTAAAACGAAACTATAATTTTCTAAATCTATATAGGTCCTAGCTATTCAGTAGATTCTGCTTGTTCTTCAAGTTTATATGCATTGGAACACGCTTATAAGGCGATTCGAGATGGACACTGTGATTCTGCACTTGTTGGAGGATGTAACTTGTGTCTCCATCCATACGTATCTCTGCAATTTGCGCGTTTGGGTGTACTTTGTGCGGATGGTCGGTGTAAATCTTTTGACGAAGCAGCTAATGGGTATGTTAGATCAGAAGCAGTTTGTGTTCTGTACTTACAAAAAGCGAAAAATGCTAAACGAGTTTATGCCAAAGTTGTGCATGCTAAAACAAACTGTGATGGGTATAAAGAGCAAGGAATAACTTATCCTTCGGGACCATTACAACAAAGATTATTAGAAGAGTTTTACGAAGAGTGTGAAATAAAGCCAAGCGATTTAGCTTGGATAGAAGCACATGGAACAGGGACTAAAGTACGTACTCATTTTATATTTAATTTATAAATTAATATTAATATTAATTATACATAGGTTGGTGATCCAGAAGAAGTGAAAGCTCTAGAAAATGTGTTTTGTCCTGGACGTACAGGACCATTATTAATTGGTTCTGTGAAATCTAACATTGGCCACTCAGAACCTGCCTCCGGTTTATGTTCTGTAGCCAAAGTTATCATAGCTATGGAATCTGGTTTTATACCTCCAAATATAAATTTTAACACTCCACGAGAGGACATTACAGCATTTTATAACGGTCGTATAAATGTGGTGGCTGATAAGACACCTTGGAATGGTGGTTTAGTTGGTATTAATTCATTCGGTTTTGGTGGTGCTAATTGTCACGTATTACTTAATTGGAACAATAAAAGTAAAATTAACAACGGGCTTCCCGAAGACGATTTACCTAGATTAGTTGTAGCATCTGGTAGAACTGAAGAAGCTGTAACCAGTATATTAAAAGATGTAAGTCATAAGTAAATATTTAGTTGATATCTTTCGATGTATGATTTTGTTTTACATTTCAGTTCTTGTCAAGATCATTGGATAAAGAATATGTGCGTTTATTACAAGATGTTCAAGCAGAGCAAATTCCTGGGCATATTTACAGAGGATATACTATCATAAAAAAAGATTGCAAAGCAAACCACTCAATGGATTTACAAGTAAATAACTAAATAGGTCATATTATATTTATTTTTGTTTAAATGTTTTAAAAATTATTAATCATAAGTATATGAATTTAGTATTATTCCGGTGAATCACGTCCTGTATGTTTCGTATTTTCTGGAATGGGTTCTCAGTGGACTGGCATGGGTACATCATTGATGAAATTACCAATTTTCAATGAATCAATTTTAAAGAGTCATAGTATTTTAAAAGAATTTGGAATTGACTTAGTAAAAATAATTACTAGTACTGATGCTAATATATTAAACAATACAGTTAACTCGTTTGTGGGAATTGCAGCCATGCAAGTAAATATTTAATTTTTAATGCTCTTAAAATTTATTTATTTAATTTAGAGATATATAATACCTATATAATTGTTATTAAATTTTATTTAGATTGCATTGTTTGATGTGTTGGTTGCTATTGGAATTACTCCAGACATTATTATTGGACATTCAATCGGGGAATTAGTGTGTGCTTATGCTGATGGCTGTTTAACATCTGAACAGACTATAAAAGTTGCTTATTACTATGGCTTAGCTACATTAAATTCAAAGATTCCTTTAGGTGCAATGGCGTTTGTTGATATTGGATATAATCAAATTAAAGACTTACTTCCAACAAATGTTGTAGTGGCTTGGCATAACTCGCCAGATAATTGTGCAATATCTGGTCTAAAAGAATCTGTTGAACAGTTTGTTCTTAAATTAAAATCAAAAAACATTTCAACGCAAATGATAAATGTACTAAATACTCCATATCATTCAACATCAATTAAAAAAGCAATCCCATCATTATTAGAATATCTGAAAAATATTATAACAAATCCTAAATTACGGTCAGAAAAATGGTTAAGTACATCAGTACCAGAAGAACAATGGGGCGAAGATAAAGCTAAATATTGTTCTGCCGAATATTGTGCAAATAATTTACTAAATAGTGTATTATTTGATGAAACATTTGAACATGTACCAAAGGGGTCTGTATTAATTGAATTAGCTCCGCATGGTGTTCTCCAGGATGTATTGAACCGATCACACAAAATAAATATTACCAATGTAGATTTAGCTTCTAGGAATCATAAAGATGGAATTGATTACCTACTGTCAGCTTTTGGAAAGTAAGAACTATTTTAATGTTTTTTTTATAATATGCTTAAACTATTTCCATTTTATAAAGAATATTTGAAGCTGGTCTCAATCCAAAAATCAGTAATCTTTACCCGGATATCGAGTTTCCGGTTAGCCGAGGTACTCCAATGATTGCACCTTTAGTACGATGGGAGCATTCAGAAGATTGGTACGTGACAATGTATCGTGTTCAAGATAAAATTAAATCTGGTGAACGAAATATTTCGATTTCGTTAAAAGATGAAGAACATGAGTATTTATCTGGTCACGTGATTGATGGTAGAAATTTATTCCCAGCAACCGGATATTTGGTACATTTTTTTAATTACATTATTTATTATTTATAAGTTTTAATCACTTTTTATCATTTCTTTTTTTTTATGATTGTGCTCACCTGCTATTTTAAAAAGTTTAAATTTAATTAGAATTAGGTACAATTGGTAATAGTTTAGTTTCTTGTAATAAAGGGCTTTTAAAAAATTAAATTAAATACTCTAAAATCATTAAACAAGTTTATTGTAGGATATAACATAGGGAGTTCTAGGGGATCTTTAGTTCTTTGTTATGTTATGATAGGTCATGCCTCATAAATCATAAACTTTTTTAAAATTGAACCAAATAGACTACACACGAAATATTTTTAATAATATATTGTTTTTCTGGTTGGTAAAAAATAAATTCATTTTCATATTCATATTTGTATACATTAGTCAATAATCATATACGCTCATAGTACACATAAACCATAAATAATATAATTAACACCTAAGGAAAGCAAATATATTATTATGCTATCTTTTAAAAATTACGTATTGCGCTTAATTACGCCGTGGTCATTATACTGTCACCTAGTAGTGAATCTAGGATTTTTCAAGGGAGGAGGGGGATATAGGTACAATTTTTAATAAACATTCTGTATATAGTATACACATATTATAATATTCATGTTGTATTATGTACAAATTTTGGTCTCCTTTGGGGAGGGGGATATGACTCCCATAAATACTCCACTGCTGTCACTGTGTCGAGTGTCGGCGGCACGTTACATAGAAGGTTAATTATTAAGAGGACGCTACACCAGCATGTGTTGTCTCTGTCTTCCAAATATGTAAAAAATTGCAAAAACTGTTTTGCGCTGGTGAGAACCACTCGGGCTGTAGTCTAAGCTAAGCTACCAAATTTTTACACTATAAAGAGGAGAACATTTTTTGTGCAACATTTTTTAGTTTGAAAATTTTAAGTTTTTCAAACTTGAATAACTTTTTTTTTAAAACTGATATCGAAAAAATAAAAACGACGTTGAACAGTAAATGTTTTCCTCTTTATAGTGTGAAAATTTGGTTGTTTGGCTTAGACTATAGCCCTAGTGGTTCTCACTCTCGAAAATAATTTTTGCAATGTTTTACATTTATTAGACGGAGATAACACATGCGAGTGTAGCGTCCTCTATAAATGTACTCTTAAAATAAATAATAAACTAACATACATTTTTTTTAACATTTTCCTTCACCAGTCTAAAATTAATACTTTTTTGATTCATGCTTATATTTGTATTAATTTTATAGGTAATGGCATGGGAAACACTTGCTTTGATGAGAGGAGAACTATACTCTGAAGTACCAGTTGTATTTGAAAATGTTCGTTTCCAAAGGGCAACAAATATTCCAAAAGATGGAAATGTAGAGTTTATTGTAATGGTTCAAAAAGGCAGTGGTACGTTTGAGGTAGTTGAAAGTGGGGCGCCTGTTGTTACTGGTCGTTTGTACATTCCTACCGATGTCAACAACGAGATGATTGACATGCCTCCGCATCCAGACGAACCAAATGATACAGATTTAAATATAAAGGATATTTACAAAGAATTAAGACTCCGAGGTTATAATTATAAAGGAATGTTTAGAAGCTTAAATAGAGTAAATCTTGATGGTGAGCTAAAATAACAATATCGAGTTGATTTTTATATTTCTTATTGATTTGGTTTTTTTTTTTTTTGTTCATTTATAGCGACTGTTGGAAGAGTTGGTTGGTTTAATAATTGGGTTGCATTCATGGATAATATGTTACAAATACAAATATTAAAAGAAGACACAAGAGCCCTTTTTGTGCCTACTTCATTACAGAAACTTTTTATAAATGTGAAAAAACACGCTACAATCTTACAAACTCTCCCGGAAGAAAAACCGGGTAATTAATTTACCTATTACTAATAATATATAAGTGACCAACTTTTAATCATATATTTTATACACCGGAGTATATCACGTTCCGTCAACAATTATTGGTTTTCTCCGCTTTCGTGAATTCAGGTCTAAAATAATTAATGTGTATACATCATATTATTATATACTTATTAATTACTTATTACCTATACAACATTTTATGGATGGATATTAGATTGTATATTGTTCTAAATAAAATAAAATAACAAACATATATTAAATCCCCTAATAATAAGTTCGTTATTGAATTTTCAGAGTTCCCTGTTTACGTGTACCCAGAAATAGATCTTATTCAAGCTGGCGGTGTAGAAATTCGAGGACTTCACGCAAATGTAATTGCTAAAAGGAAGCCTTTAGCTGATCCAGTTATAGAGAAATATACGTTTGTTCCAAACATTATTGAAACGGTAAATCGAAATAAACTATAAATAAATCGCAGTTAATATTTGAAACTGTATTATATTTTTAGGGCTATACACTGGAACAAATAGTGCGCATTTCTTTGCATTTAGTAATTGAAAACCTCATAAGCATTAAAGTAAAAACTGTAGAAATTTTAAATAAAACTTTTAACCCGGATGTACAAATTCTTAGCCCCATCATACTCGATGTCTTAGCTGATCTACCACTCATACAGGTATTAAATTATATTTATTTTCCATACACTACCTATTATATTTAAAACTTTATAAATATATTCTAGTATCTATACTTAATGTATGTATAAATATATATATATATATATATATGTCTTTCTAGCCCGAAGTATCTATTCTATCTGATGGGACTCACCCTCAATTGAAGGAAATAGGATCCAATATAACAGTGGAAGATAAAAAATTATCTCCAGATCAATCGGTATTATTGGCTGTGGGATCAGGAGTTCTACAAGATTCTAACTTATTGGAACAAGTTTTTGCGACTCTTAAACCAGGTGGATTTTTACTGACACGTGAGAAATTAAATGTCGAATACTCACCAGATTCTGTAGAAGTGTGTCTAGATGCTTCCTTAGAACAGGAACGATTAATGCTTGTTAGAAAGGTATGAAAAAATAATTATTAACATAATTACTTGTTATTAATATAAAAAATATAATTTGATATTGTAAAAACTGTAATAGCCTTTGGAGCAAAACATTGTCCCAATCGTTGTTAAAATATCGAGCACTGAGTTTTCGTGGTTACCTGTATTACAAAAACTATTAAAAGCCGATGATGCATCTGTCAGCCAAAAAATTGTTCTTGTCGGCGAAAAAGATCCTACAAATGGTATAGTTGGACTATTAAATTGTATCAGAAAAGAACCAGGTGGTGACAGAGTTAGGTATGTAATATTTATATATATATAATATTAAATCCAATAACCTTTAGATTAAATAATAAAAATAATTCTTATTTTTATTATTTAGAATGTTTGCTTCTCGCATATTAAATTAAAATGATAGGAACACGTCTACCAAAAGTGTACCATACCAGTTACCGTTTTCCCCCAATACTCGATATTACCTAATAAGATAAGTAGGTATTTACCACGTTTCCACCAACATAAATTCTATACCATTAATGTATAGTATGTACATGTCTTAAATTATTTATTTTTTTAATTTACAATAATGTTTATTTTGCCTATGTATTTTTAATATTTTTCAACTACTGGCCTTGTATTGCATTTTCAAGCTTTTTGACCCAACAAATACAATTTTATTGACATTTATAGAAAAAAAAACTGAAAAAATTGAAAACTGAGTATGTCAGTAAACAGCTCAAAATGAGTCAAAATGTTTTCAAAATTGTATGGTGTATAGAAAATTAAAATATAAGCATTCAGTGAAATTTGCATGCATCTACAGTTATTCGTTTTTGAATTTCAACAAAATAAGAATGTCGCTTCATGATAAATCGAGTAAATATCCAATGTTGTAAAAATATGAACTTCAAACGCTCATAACAAATTAATTTGACTTTCTTGTAGACCACTTTAAATGCTTATAAAAAAAAAACTGTGACTATGGATTTTTAATATTTTTCAAATGCCATTGTAATAATGTATTAGGCGCCTTGTGTTAAATTTTCAAGCTTTTTTACTCAACAAATAAAATGTTATTGACATTCATAGAAAAAAAGGTGGGCAAGTGGATGTCGCTTTGCTGTATAGGAGGTTTCAAGTGGGTAACTGTATAATGGATGGTATTAAATTTGAATTCAATGATATAATATCATTGTATATTTGTATACGAAAAATGATTCTGAGCTGTGACGGTTTGTCAGTGTAGATATATTATATTATATTTATATTGTTATTAGTTATTACTTATTAATTATTATTAATACTAATAATATTAATACGGTAGCCGGTAAGTTGAATTAATATTAAAAAATTACAACAAAGTAATTAAAATCGTTATTCTTGGTTATTAAATTATAACTATAAAAAAAAACAGTGATTTATATTTTTGATATTTTTGGTTACGGAATAACCTACTTATGTGGAACTTTGTGTTAAGTTTTCAATCCTTAGCTATAAAAGTTGAACATTTTAAACAATTTTAACTAGAAAATCATTTTTAAATTTTAAATTTGATAAATGTTGTCAAAAATCGAACTTTATATGCTTGTAAAAAAAAATTGTGCCTTTGTGTTTTTAATATTTTTCAACTGATATTTAAGCAATATATTAGGAGTCTTGTATTAAATGTTGACGCTTTTGGACCCAACAAATAACATTTTATTGATATTTATAGAAAAAAAAACTAAAAAAATTGAAATTGGAAAATGTCAGTAAACAGCTCAAAACTAGTCAAAATATTTTGAAAATTTTATCAAGTGTAGGAATTGATAAAATAAACATATGATATAAACCTCAAGTGTTTACGGTAATTTGTTTTTAAATTACAACAAAATAAGAAAATCAGTACATAAGAAATCCAGTGAATATCCAATCTTGTAAAAATATGAACTTTAAATGATCATAAAAATTTAATTTGAATTTTTTTTTCTTATAAAATTAGACAATCTTATGAGGAATCTTGTAATACATTTTCAAATCTTAGATTTAAAAATAAAAATTACTATGAATTCTCAACTCAAAATAATTTATCTACTAATTTTGGTGATTTTTCGGAAATCTTTGCAAGATTTGAACTTTTAATGCTTAAAAAAAAAACTGTAACTAAGGATTTTTAATGTTTTTAAAATGTCATTGTAACAATATATTAAGAGCCTTGTATTACATTTTCAATCTTTTTTACCAACAAATACAATTTTATTGACAAAAATAGAAAAAAAAACTAAAAAAAACTGAAAATTGATAAACCGTATACAACTCCAAACAAGTCAAAATATTTTGAAGATTTTATGGTTTATATAAAATGCTAATATAAATGTTGATTAGAAATTTCATGTATCTACGGTTATTAGTTTTAGAGTTATGACAAAAACCAAAATCGATTTTGTCAAAAAATTCCCTTTTTTAATTAATTTTTCTTTTGTTTTTCCTTGCACTTTTGAAAACTATTGGGAATTTTAATTGATAAATTCCCGAATATACCAACTAGATTCACTTTTCCATCGAATAAGATACTGTTGAATAAAATTGAAGCAGTTTTACTGCTCCAAACGGCAAAAATTTAAAAAAAAAATTAAAAATTAACTAAAAAAACCACTCTTCAATACATCATTGTATAATCAATACATTCATCATTCAGAATTTAAAACAATCCACCTCAAAAAATGTCGTTGAGCCCTTGCGAGTACTTTCTTTTATGTGCCAACTTCGCATTTTGTATTCTCTAGTAAGTCAGTTTTTTACAGATGGTATATTCATTCATAACAAATTTAAAAAAAACAATATTACATAATAAATTACAAAGTCAATAGTTTTCTTATTATCCGGTACTATAATAATATTTTATCAGGATTCTAACAAGATATTATTGTGAACATATTCCGTTTGAGGAAAAAATATCGATTTCAATAATTTTGGACAAAAAGTATTAATGATAGAGGTCTGACAGTCTGATAGTGCTCTGTCTTATCATTTAAATCTTATAATTACATTTCTACTAAACATTTATATTAACACTTATGTCTTATATACTCATCAAATAATTTTCAAAACATTCAATCGTAGAAAATTTAAATATTCCACTATTTTAATTTCTAAACACAATGAAATTTTTTAAATTTTGTAAATTATTTTTTAGATAGAAATTTATAAAAGTTTTTTTTTCATACCTAACAATATTAATTTTGATAGAAGATTGATAGAAAACAAGTTTTTCTACCTCTATCAAAAAAATAAGTTTCTCTAGAAAGTTATGCGATTTTTAGCCATGTGATATATTTGATTTTTACAATTTTTTTTTTAAATATATGATTTGATTGTTTATTCAAGTATGCTAGGATGACACAAATTCTCCGCTCTAAATCGCTCTAAATTTATCATTGAATTCGAATATAACACATCCATTACAATGACATTCTCGAAAACTACTGTACAGTGTACAGCAGAGCGGTACCCACCTGTCTACCTTTTTAAATATTAATTTAAGATAATCATTTTTGATTGTTATTTATATACCTACCTATTTTAATTTGGTATCTACAGGTCTTAGTGGTCTTACATTATCTTGATATTATATAAAAAGCATACATATATTCAGTGCTCAAATTGGGAAAAATTAAGTAGAGGAGCTCAATCTAACGATTTAAATACTGCGTTCCAATTGCGCAATTATTCAACACAGACCATACAAAAAATAGTAGGGGTATGCAAAAAAATAATAAAAATAGTAGGGGAGCTCCGTCCCTCTACGCGAACCCCCCCCCCAATTTGAGCACTGCATATATTGACATATAGTTCACTAAAGTATTAAGCAATAAATATGAACAAAACAATATATTATAATTTAACATAAATCCATAAGCGATAATATATTGTATTGTATAGCGCCATTCATCTCTTGAGTACCTACCTACTTAGTACGTGCTACCACGTGTAAAATATCCATTTCCTGATGTCATATTGATTTAATATTAAACCATACTTATATTGATTATGTAATATATTATATTGTATTAATGTTTATTTCACTTTTTATTTTAGATGTGTATTTATAATGGACAAATGTGCACCAAGCTTTTCTTTGGACGAACCTTTATATAGGAAACAATTAAACAAAGATTTAATATTAAACGTGTACAAGAATAAAGTTTGGGGATCTTACAGACATTTATTATTAGAACCTCCGTCTTTAATCGAAGTTCAACATAGTTGTGCTAATAGCTCAATCCGCGGCGATTTGTCCTCTTTAAAATGGTTTCAGGGATCCATTGTTCCATTTAAAAAACAACCAGCTGAATCGGATCTAGTTCATGTTTATTATACTGCTTTGAACTTCAGAGATATTATGTTAGCCACAGCTAAACTAGCTCCTGAAGTTATAGCAAGGGGTCGCATTAATCAAGAAAGTGTAATCGGTTTTGAATATTCCGGTCGGCTCGAGAGTGGAGAGAGAATCATGGGAATGATTACGTCACGAGCTTTAACAAATATACTTGTTTATGATAAATATTTGTCATGGAAAGTACCGGATAGTTGGTCATTAGAAGAAGCGGCAACTGTACCAGTAGTTTATGGAACAGTACGATAAAGTATTTTGTGTTTAAGTGATTTATTAACGTTTTATTTTTATTTAGGTAATATACGCTTTGATTGTCAGTGGTCGAATGAAACGTGGTGATTCAATACTTATCCACGCCGGAACTGGCGGAGTTGGTCAAGCTGCTATAACTATAGCACTTTATTATGAATGTGAAATTTTCACAACAGTTGGAACGGCAGAAAAAAGGGAGTTTATCAAAACCCATTTCCCACAAGTAAAAAAAATTGGAAGAAAAGAACAAAAAGTTAGATAATATTTATAATGTGTATTATCTTTAGATCCCTGAAAGCCATATTGGAAATTCAAGAGATTCATCATTTGAGCAAATGATAATGATGGAAACTGATGGAAAAGGTGTTGATATGGTATTGAATTCATTAGCTGAAGAAAAACTTTTAGCTTCAGTCAGATGTTTAGCAACTGGAGGTCGATTTTTAGAAATAGGAAAATTCGATTTAGCAAACAACAGCATGATAGGTTGAGTATAACCTATATTTTATACATTTAATATTTTGATTGCACTTACTAACTTTTATTTTAGGTATGGAATTATTTTTAAAAGAAATTAGTTTCCACGGTGTTATGTTGGACACATTGTTTGATAGTCCAAATGAATGGAAGGAAGTATTCCAACGTCAAGTACAAGAAAATATTGATTCTGGAGCGATAAAGCCATTAGTGCGCACAGTTTTTGAAAGCGATCAGATAGAACCAGCTTTTAGGTATATGGCTGCAGGTAAACATATTGGTAAAGTATTGATAAAAATCAGAGATGAAGAAGAAGATCGTTTTATTAAACCACAGTCTATAAATGTAAAGGCATACCCAAGAGTGACGTTTGACGAGAATTCATCTTGTATTATTTGCGGTAATTAATATTATATAAAATATATATGTAAGAGTTTATACTAAAATGAAATACTGTAAAGGTGGTCTGGGAGGTTTTGGTCTTGAACTGGCTGACTGGATGGTTTTGAGAAATTCGAGAAATATCATTCTTACTACAAGAACAGGTATACGTAATGGATACCAAGCATTGAGAAAACGCGTATGGGAATCTTATGGAGCTAAGGTGGTAATTTCAACTGCTGATATTACTACAGAAGAAGGAGTTAAACAATTGCTTAACGAAGCCAACAAGTTGGGACCAGTTTCTACTATTTTTAATCTCGCTGTAGTGAGTATAATAATTATAGATATCTTAGTAAATATAAATATTTTAGTTAATACTTAATACATAATATTTACACAAATTAGCATAATAAGTAGGTACCTACGTCTACATGAATTATGATTTATATATATATTGGGGAGTGAATCGTTTGAGAGAGAAACCACATAAAAGTTACACGAGATTTTAATACCTTAATATTTTGTTAGTATTATTTAATTATTTTATATGTAATATATCTAATAACTAATAAGTCATGAAACCAGTAACTTTTTAAACTATAATGAGAGTTCAGGTATGGAGTGCGAGTGTAAAATATATCGTTTATAGAACAATGTAGCTTCTTCAAACATTTTTTTTTTAAATTTAAAGATAAATATATTAATTTAGTTATTCTATTTGTTTTTTTTTTCAAATTGTTGCGTTGTTCATAACTCAGATCTATTTCATATTCTATTAATTTGTATAATAATATTATGTTTGTACCAATGGTAGACCAATGAGTTGAATAAAATTATAAAATATCTTTAAAATACGTACATGTTATTATAAATATAAATAATTTGTAATTTCCACAGGTTGATATAGAATTATAACAATCATTACAAACATTTTAGATGTAATAAATGCTTTAGGCAATATTTATATCTTACATTTTAATAAAAAAAATAAAAATTGTAATTCAGTGAACATTGTTATAATATTAATTTCTCTTTGTTTTTATATTTATTTAAAAATTAAAATTTACTGTTGTCGACTTATTTTATTACGTGATAACTTATTTTTTCTGTTCTTAATTAGGTTTTGAAAGATGCTTTGTTTGAGAATCAAACAGAAGAAGATTTTAAAGCATCAGCTGGACCAAAATCTATTGCAACGGCATTGCTCGATAAATATTCTAGAACAATGTGTCCGGAGTTGAAACATTTTGTAATTTTTTCGAGCGTAAGCTGTGGTCGTGGGAACGCTGGACAAACTAATTATGGTATGTCCAATTCGGTAATGGAGAGAATATGTGAGATTCGTCATTCGGAAGGATTGCCCGCTTTGGCTGTTGAATGGGGAGCTGTTGGTGAAGTGGGTCTTGTGGCTGATATGGCTGAAGACAATCAAGAGGTAGTCATTGGTGGTACTTTACAACAAAAAATCGGCAATTGCTTAGAAATATTGGATGGTTTGTTAACTCAGAAAAATAACCCTATTGTCTCGAGCATGGTAGTTGCTGAGAAACGTGCATCTAGTAGTAATGCAGGCACTATTGTTGATACTGTAATTAACATCCTTGGTCTTAGGGATTTAAAAACCATTAGTTTACATTCAACCTTGGCAGAATTGGGTATGGATTCAATGATGGCTGTTGAAATCAAGCAGACATTGGAAAGACAATTTGAAGTATTTTTAACGCCTCAAGACATCAGAAGTATGACATTTGCAAAATTGCAAGAAATCGGATCTTCGGATGATAAAGAAAAGAAAGCCGAAGTTGATCCAAAGTCAATTGCTCAAATGCCTGATGTAGGATTGGGTTACCTTATTCGAGCTATAGGAGAAGAATCGTCTGCTTATAATTCTATTATGCGTATCCCATCTTTATGTGAAGATGGTTCTGTAGTCGAACAACCTACTACCAAACTAAATACATTATTCGTTATACCCGGGCTTGAAGGTATTTCATCAATGATGGAACCTTTATCCAACAATTTAAATATGCAAGTCTTATGTTTACAATATGACATTTTGGGCACTGCATCTACTATTGAAGAAATGGCTGCTGCTCATTATACAGTAAATAAAAGTTTTAACTATAATTTTAACTTTGACTCAAATGTATTTGATTTCAGTTAATCCAAGAACGATTGTCGGCTGATCAAGAATTTTCAATTGTCGGCTATTCATTTGGTGGACTTATTGCCATCGAGGTTTTAAAAATTCTGGAAAAAAATAACCGTACAGGTAAACTGTGGTTGATTGATAGTGCTCCAGAATTTTTGAAAATGACCACTGAATTAGCAATTCGTGGTGATAAAACACAAGACCAAGAAATTCAAGTACAACTAATACTGAGGTTCCTTGATTTAGTTTGGCCTCACAATAAAACTAAAGTAAGTTAAATAATTTCTTTTACGTAAATAGTATAGAAACATTTTGTGTTTGTTTGTTTTAGATTACGACTGAACTGTACCAAAAAAATTCATGGGAAGAACGTTTAAATTATTTCATTGAACAAGTCCCTGATGATACTATATACAGTAAAGACTATCAAAAACAATTATTAAGCTCTGCTTATATTAAGTTGAAGGCAGTCATTAATTATGATGGAAAACCTAACGGTAGCTTAAAAACTAGTACTGTGTTAATACGCCCCACCGAACAAGTTTTACCAATATCCGAAGATTATGGACTCTCGGAGGTAATTTCAATATTAAATAAGTATTATAAAATCAATATAATCGGTTTTTTTGTTGTTTTTTTTATGTCAATTATAGTATTTTAATTCGGCAGTCATGGTACACTTTGTTGAAGGAAATCATTATTCAATATTAGAAAACAAAAAAGTTGCTGAACTTATTTCGCAGTCCTCGTCATCCAAAGATTTATAGATAGTTTTTATTTGAGAACTGTATTCAATCAATTTATTTATTTAAATAATAAAAAAAAACCTAATATTATATGAACTAAAATAAGTTTTTAGCGTAATTTTTAGTGGTTTTTTTTTTTTATTTGCCTTGATCCTACAAAACAGTTGTTAGATCCAATAAATTTCCAATTCATAATTATTTTTTTCTTAAGGTCTGCGATATGATAGTTAGATTTTGACAGATAATTCTTGAGAAAATTACGAATTGAGATAACTATAGTTGTTTTTATTATGATTATTTTTATGTTATGTTTTTGGGCCTGATACTTTCAACATTTTTTGAGTTTACCATAATGGATTTTTTGTTACAACATTAAAACGTTATAATTTTGCTTCATATTACATAGTTTAGACCAGTGATGCATTACCAATTGTTAAACTGTTAAAAATATTAATTAATATTATCAATAAGTTAGATGACCTTGTCAGGAACACTTCATAATAAATAAAAAAGAAAAAAAAAGACCAGTGACGCCCCAAATTTTTTCCTAGGTGGGCCACTTTGGTAAACAATTATCTTCGAGAGGGCCACCAAATATAAAAGTATGAATAATCTCAATTTTAATCTAATACATAATATAATTTTGTTAAACATAGTAAGTATACAATACTTTATTATGTTTTATTTTAAAAATTTGTCACGGATTACATGGAATATCTTCACGGGTCATGGGTTGGACCTTGGACTTGAACATCACTGGTTTAGACATTAGACCTATGAATACGATTATTACGTTATCATAGCAACTATATAAAAAAGTATCCACAAAATCTGAATACAACTTTTTTTGAATGCAACATTCCTAATTTCTTCATAAGTTATTCTAATCTAATCTTTAAGTCCCCAGCCATAATTTAAATAAAAATAAATGTTATGAGTGTTTGAAGTTCAAATATTTACGACATTTATACGCCATGCTCATCTGTGAAATTACTATTTTTCCTCTATTGATTTTTTCAAAAATGTTTGTTTTAACTAAGAAAGGGATTGAAAATAGTTTTTAAATCGATGTTAATGATACTTAGGTCTTAGGTATATTTTTACAAGGAAGTAGCTTATTTTGGATTCTAAAACTGCGCTATACTATTTATTTAAATGGCGTTCTATACGTTGACGGGAAAAAAAATTTGTTACTTTTTTTCGAACATAGTTGAAGGCGACATACCTGTTAATGGTTTTTAATTTGTAAAATTTTAATTTTAGTGAATTTTTTGGTGGAAGGATGTCCGAGAAAACTTCAAAATTAAGCTAGATAGTTTACGGAACCGCCGAGTAATAATTTTGCAAAAAATATTTGTTTTAATACTTGGAAAGGGATCCTAAGCCCTAAGGTATCCTATGGTAACCTAACTTAACTAACATAAAAAAAAAACATATAAATACTAAAATGTATTATAATAATTTAGATAACAACTTAGATTTTTCGCCAACGGAATTTATAATTATGTCATTATCTATCCTCATTAAGACAATTATGTTAATTTTTCAGTTTCAACTAATGAAGAAAAACTGTAAACAATTTTTGTAGTTATTACAGGTCACTACACACTTTTTAATTTCGTATTCCACACTTAGCATTTGGTACTACACAAAGTGTGTCGTAGGTACCATAGATACACAATTTTAGTCCCTGCTCATCAGGAACACTACCTATAATACTATATTATATTACTATAATAGTATAATCAGGGCCAGATTTAGAACAAGTGCCGCCCTAGGCCGTTTTAACATACCACCCCTACCCCAAGATAAAAAAAATGTTGTAATTATTTCTAATAAATTAATTTAATTTTAAAGAAATTAGGTCAATAGTCATTATAAACAAAACAAATATTTATGAATTCTAATTAGGCATTAGCAGTATAAATTTTTAATCTTATACCTATGTTATCTATAACATTTTACGACGAACTTTTTTAGACGCGAAATCGTCGATTTCGTATAATAGTAAATAGTAATTATAGTATTATACACTGTATAATACTATAATTACTATTATATTAAAGCGTTGATGTTTATACAAAGCCCAGCCATCAGTAATTTATACTTTGAGGTTTTTTAAGATACCCACCTACCTATGCATGATGAAATATGAATAGCACAAGACTATTATAATTCAGATACCTATATCTTTTTTGCCATAGGACTTTTTTAAACTTAATTTTATTCTGGACTTTTTCCCTAATAGGTACCTATTGTGTGAATTGTAATATTGTTCTATGATATAGGACTGGAATCGACAAGGCCGATGGCCGAGGGGTAGTACTGTGGTAGTAGGCTGGTTCTCAATTATGTTTCTAATGGTATAGGTGTTGTTGCTAGCGTATTCTTGTTGAGTTGAGTTTACTCTTTATTGGCAAGTGGCAACGTACAAAAAAAATTATTTTTAAATATTATTATATTAATATTGTTCTATGATAATAAGGTTGGTATTGTTTAATATCTTGCTTATTGTGCCATGAGTATTTTTAATGGAAACATGGTAAATACTGTACCATATAACCTCAAATATATATACGTTGATAAAGGGTGCGTTCCGGCTGGACGCTTTGTACGCTTCAAGCGCTCATGAGCGCTCCCAGTGAGTTCCACTTTGCATTTATAAGCGCTCACACTACAACCGTGACGTCACGAGATCTGAGCTCTACGTCATCGTCACGCGCTCACCAACGCTCAAATGAAATAGGTAGTGCAGCGTAAGCGTTTGCGTCGTTTTCGATATCTTATCAGTTTATCACAGACCACAATTTGAAAATAAATGTACGGCAGTAATATTTATTATTAATATTACATTTATTACAGCAGTAATAGTTTAATAATTTAATTTAATAGTAATATGAATAATAGCAATAGTAATAATATGTCAATTTCTATTATACTGATGGATGGAGTGGATGGAGAAACGTACACATTAAATGTGACGAGGGATGAGGCGAATCGTATAAATACAGGTATTATAAGAGTAAATCAAATTTTTGAACTTATTTTGAATTAATTTGAATTTTAGATTCTGAGTGAAACGATGAATGTATTGATTTTACAATGATTTTTTTTTTTTTGTGTCTGTGTACACAATAAGTATCAGGGTTTGTTATTGATGTATAACGTGTTATAAGTACCTAGTGGATATTGTGATATGATTAATTTGGAATTTATTATAGGTCAATTTTTTTTTTATTACCATAGATTTGTATATAATATAAAAGGAGGCTATTAATCTTTTGGCTAGACTAGTTAGTGTACTGGAAACTAAAAATCAGTGATTGAGATAACTGTAATTATTCAATATATATATGTGATTTGTAAAACTTTAAAATATTAAGACTGAGGATTATAATCTGTTAGATATGTTTATTATTTATTATTATTTTTATTATTTATTTTGTTTATTATTATTTTTTTTTTATTATTATATATTTATGTTCAATATTTCAAAGGTTGAAAATATATTTGTTTGATATTTATTTGTGAACTAATGTTGTTAACTGTAATTAGTCAATATATATGTGATTTGTAAAACTTTAAAATATTAAGACTGAGGATTATAATCTGTTAGATATGTTTATTATTTATTATTATTTTTATTATTTATTTTGTTTATTATTATTTTTTTTTTATTATTATATATTTATGTTCAATATTTCAAAGGTTGAAAATATATTTGTTTGATATTTATTTGTGAACTAATGTGGTTAACTGTAATTAGTCAATATATATGTGATATATATTTAATATAATATATATTTTTGTTTGATGGTAGTACTATTACTAACTTATAATTATATAAAAATAAAATACAAATTGTTATGATTCAGACTAGTTTTTTTTATTGTAAACATATCATTGTATTTACATTATATATGGCGAAAAGGTAGTTGATCACACAAATTGTCCCTCTTGAATGCTCCTTGACGATTAATTGCAACCAACTCTCCACGAGCTTGTATATTTTCGTTTACCGGTGTTGTTTCAGGTAGACCAGGAAACTCATCATTTTGTAATAAGCATATATTATGTAAAATACAGCATGCAATAATATACTTGGGAATTAGATCGACACGCTTCATATCCAATGTTGTTAGGAGACTACGAAACCGTCCTTTTAGGAAACCAAAAGACCGTTCAATTGCCATCCTTGCAGAGGAATGACAAAAGTTGAAATTCTTTTGCTTTTGAGTTAAGTGCCCATTATCACGGTATGGAACCATAAGATGTTCATGCAAGGTATAAGCAGAATCACCAATTAAATGGGTGTTATTAGGAAATTTGGTTGCGTCATCAAGGTAATTTTTCAGTTCAGATAATCTGAAAACCCGTTGATCATGTACTGAACCCACATTCCCAGCATAGCAATGAATAAAACGACATTTATGATCGCACACAGCCTGTTGAAAAAACAGTTCATTAAAATCGAATAAAATTTAAAAATTAAAACATTAACATACTTGTAATTGAATTGAATGGTGACCTTTTCTATTAACATAAGTTTCTTGATGGTCATGTGGTGCAGGAATGTTAATATGTGTCCCATCAATCGCACCAAGAACATTTGGAAAAGTACTGTTAGAAAAAAATCCATTTTTAATTTCTTCAACTTTTTCTTCATTTGGCCAAGTGATGAAAACTGGTGCCAACATTTCTAAAGCAACAATGACTCTTCTAATACATCTTAATGCAGTAGCTCGCCCCACACCAAATTTTTCACAAATTGATCTAAAAAGTTATTAGGTAGGTATCATATAAAAGATAGAACTAAATATAATAATATGGCAAGTAATATTATTGCATCTAAAAATAATGTTATTTGTGTAACAGAAGGTTAGGTTAGGTTAGTACCTGTAAGAGTCAGGAGTAGCCATTTTCCATATCGCAATTAAAAATTGTTTATTTGGTGAAATAGATTTGTACCCCGGCTTCATTCTTTTTAACTTTGGAGCGATTATGGTTAATACATATTCAAATGTGGTTGGAAGCATCCTAAAAAATAATACAATAATTTTATGTAGAATATTTACATTTAATCTTATTAAAAACTTAAAAGCCTACTACTAACCTGAAGTGAGATTTGAATTGTCCATCATTGAATTGTGGTACGATGGTTTCAACATAATTCTGCAACCGAGGTATTGCAGTTTTAGTCTCAAGATTCTGTACTACGTATTCATACAATTCATTGCTGTCATCTTCACTGTCATCCGACGAAGAAGAAAATATAATATCACAGCATTGTTGTATAGCCATAATAACTAACGCACGATCATTCAAATTATTCATTATAAAAACAAAGAAACAAAACGTTGGTAGATTATTACAATTTTGAATTTAAAAAACAAACTAGATTTGTGGATTATGTTATCAATTTCATTTTTGATAAAATGATAACACGGTCTAAGCGCTCATGGCAGGTTCAACATCGTTCCACTTGGAACGTAAGCAAAGCGATTCTATGCGCTTATTTTCTAGTGGAACGGTTCATAATCATGAGCGCTATTGTGAGCACTGTGAGCGCGAAAGCGTCCAGCCGGAACGCACCCAAAACTGTACTTTTTACTTTTTGACGATTGATTAATCGTATTTGTTTTGTTTACAAATGTGTAAATTCTGAATTGTCTTTATAAAATATATAGTATTATACTATTATATAGTTTACCATTTACTAATATTAAATAAGTTTTTGTATTATTGAATAAACGTTATTATTACGAATAATATTAGTCCATAATTTACCTTAAATTAATATTAATATACATAAATTCAATTCAGATTTGATATAAATGTTATAGATAGCAGGTATACATATAGCATTCAAACTGGCGTCTTTCGATGAAAATAATGAATTTGAAAGCAAGAAACGAAAGAAGCATAAAAAAGATAAATACGAAGGTAATCTACATTTTGTATTCGGATTTAATGATGCATTTCTTTTCTTACATCTGGTTATTCTAATTTATCTTTAAGTACAAATAACTACCTATTCATTTAGATTTGTAATTTTATTTTTAGTATGATTTTTTTTGTTAAATGCTGTACTTTTGTTTCAGATAAAGAGAAATCTGGTGGCTTGAAATTAATATTAAAAGTTGGCAGTGGAAGTTGTTTGCCTGCTGATGAAATAGTTAGTAATACTAATGGTAATCATGAAACTAATGATTATTTATCTAAACCACATAAAAAGAAAAAAAAGAAACACAAGCATCATAAAGAAAAGAAAAAAAGAATGCGAGATGATGTCACAATTCATGAAGAAATAAGTTTAGGCGAGGAGACTTTAGCAGAAGCTCCAATGTCAAAACGCCCTACAAATTTTGAAAATAATAGTAGAGTCACAACAAATTCTACTGAGCCTCAAAATGGTGAGTTTTATTAAATTAATATTTAATGTATGTACTTAGTACTTACTATTATATTTATGATTTAGGTGAATGGAAATCAGAAGAAACAAACAACACAAATGAAAATCGGCAAACTTTGCAACAATTGTTAACACATTTACTTAGAGCTTTGGAACGCAGAGATCCTCAACAATTATTTGCATGGCCAGTTACAGATCGTATTGCACCTAATTATTCTCGACTTATATCTAAGCCAATGGACTTTGAAACAATTCGTCGAAGCATTCAAAGTGACCTTTATACTAGTTTGAATGCATTTGTTGTGAGTATTGAAGGTTAAACACATTAGTTTGTTAAGTATTTATGTTCATAAGCATAGAATAGGGGGAGTCTAAGGGAAATATAACCCCCCTGGAATTTTGTTTATTCCCCCCATCCAGTACATTTTAGATTCTGAGTGGATCGATGAATGTATTGATTTTACAATGATGTGTGTTTTTTTTAAAGTGTCTGTGTACACGATAAGTATTCGAAATAATGCCCTGATTTCCACTTCAGTATCTTGTTCGATTGGAAAGTGAATATCGTTGGTGCATTGGGGAGGTCAAAATTTAAAATTCCCTGTAATTTTCAAAAGCACCAAGAAAAATTCAGGAAAAACTGGAATTTTTACGCAAAATCTTGCAAATTTTTCATAAAATTGAATTTGGTTTTTGGTGAAAAAAAATGACCGTTGATACATGAATTTTTCACTGGTTGCTTGTGTTTGCATTTTCTATACAAAATAACATTATTAAAATATTTTGAACTGTTTAGGGACATTTTCATTTTCCATTTTTTTTTCTAAAAATACCATTAAAATGTTATTAGTTGGTTAAAAAACTTGAAAATTTAATAGAAAGCTCCTAGTTTATTGTTTCAAAGGCAGATAAAAAATATTAAAAATCTTTAGTCACAGTTTTTTTTTATAAGCATTTAAAGTTCAAAAATTGACATAATATGGAAAAATCACGAAAATTAGCAAGTTATTTTGAGTTAAGAATTCCTAAACATTTTTCTTTTTAAATCTAAGATTTTAAAATGTAATACAAGATTCCATATAAGATTATCTACCTTTATAAAAAAAAAATGTCTATAAGAAAGTCAAATTAAATTTTTATGAGCGTTTGAAACTCAAATTTTTACAACATTGGATATTCACTCGATTTCTCTAGCAATTTCCTTATTTTGTTGTAATTGAAAAACGAATAACTGTAGATACATGAAAATTTCACTGAATGTTTATATTAACATTTCCTATACACCATACAATTTTGACATAAAAAATACACAAGCACAGTTTATTTTTATAGTTATTTTAAGTTAAAATTTGGATGAAATTACATATTAAAATCAATATTAACGATTTTGGTTTTTTGTTGTAATTTAAAAATATTATTCGTGGATATATGAAACTGAAAGATCAAAAAATCAAAATATTATGGCCTATCCATACAATCTACCATAGTATAATGAATAAAAATTATGCTCAATGATAAGACTGTGCATATATTTTTTTATTACCATTGATATGTATTTAATATGTCTTAAACCTAGACTGACATACGGTCTCCGCTCAGAATTGTTTTTCTCATACAATGATATTATATCATTGAATTCAAATTTAATACCATCCATTATACAGTGATCCATTTGTGACCCACTGTACAGCAGAGCACCTTATTAGTATTAATGTTGTGTACCAAAAACATAATAGGCTAAAGTGCCCTGATATAAATTCATCACGCTATGCCTATGTTTATGTTTTATGACAGAGTATAGATATGGCAGTTGTATAATATTAAAATAGATTAAATTAGTTTAAGTGTATGTTATCAAATATATAGATAACTTCTATTCTATTTCTATATATGACATAAAATTTTAAAACTTGGTTGTCATATAATTAATAAAATAAAAATGATTAAAATATCTTATCAAGAAAGAATAAATCAATTTTTGGTAGAATTTTGATTTTCAGATAATTATAAAAATATTAATAGAATTTATACCATTGTTTAATTTACAGGCAGATTTTAAATTAATGTGTGAAAATGCCATGACTTATAATCAACCAGAAACTATTTATTATAAAGCAGCTAAACGACTTCTTCATGCTGGTTTAAAATTAACGGGTCCAGAAAAATTGAAAACACTGTTATCTGCATTACCTGGAATGGCTAATATACCTCCATCACAGCTGGGCTTTGATATTACCCAAGAATATCATGGTGATACTTCGAATGATACAATTATCGAAAATATTGAACGATCTTCTGAACGTTTGCATGATAATGATCTATTAAACCAACGAAAAATTATGTAAGTTTTTTATTACTATTATCACTTACCTGATAATACTATTAAGGATTTTGTATTATTTTAGATCAAAATTTGAGGCAATACCTGATAATTTGACACCAGATGAAATTCTTAAACAAGCGCAAAATGCTGCCAAAGCAGCTTCTGAAAAATTGGCCACAAAAAATACAAAGGTATTCAAATTTTAGATTATTATTAAAAAAAACTATTAAGAGGACGTGATACCCGCATATCGACGGCCCCATCAAAAAAGGTCCTATCTCGTTTTTTGCAACTTTTCAGGATGAACCAAACTAACATTCAAATATTCATTTTTTTTATAACATATAAGTTTGAAAATTTTGATACATATTATATAGCTTATGATCATAAAAAATATGAAAATATGAATTAAAAAAAAATAAACTTTCATAGAGGTTTATTGAGATACCACCTTAAAAAAAAAGTAGTATCTATACTTACGACCATTGTTTTTTCCATGTATTCTAATTTACTTTGTAACAAAAGGCAATATTAATATTATAAATAATGAAACAAATCATAATAATATTAAAATCTAATATAATACGACCTTATTCGTAGGTTCTATGATTGTGTCAATTCTTCGTATCTAAACATACAACGGTTTTCGTTGGAAATAGATATTTCGGGAAATTATAAAAATAATTAATATCTAATCTGTTTGGAACACTAGACATACAATCTTTTTCATGGGATGTACAGAAAAATATTCTGTATCAGATGATAGTGATATCTCAATATTTGAATATTGACAAAAACCAAGATAGGACCTTTTTTGTTTGGGCCGTTGATATGTTGTCTCCGTCTTACAAGTGCGTAACATAGCAAATTCTACCCAAAGCAGAACACGTGTAGCTTCGTTGGTTTAAAAAGTAGAGTGAATTGACCTCTTATAAAATCTAAAAGTAAGATTATTATCTAGACAACCTCATGGGCTTTTTATTATATTTTATTTTTTAAGCGAGCTATGAATATTTTAAAATTGTAAATAGCTTATAGATCTTAAAGTACCTACTCATAATTAGCTTAAAAATTAAAATATTATAAAAAGCCCATAAGGTTGTCTAGATAATAATCTTACCTTTAGATTTTATAAGAGGTTAATTTAATCTAATTTTTAAATTAAAGGAGCTACACGTGTTTTGCTGAGCGTGAACTCTGCTATGTTATGCACTTGTAAGACAGAGACAACACATGCGGGTATCACGTCCTCTTAATAAAGAATGATATAAATAAAATTAATAATTAATAATTTAATTCTGGTATATTTTAAAAATTGACTCAAGTTTTATCTATGTCCTAATATCTACTTGCACCTCTGATTTAAAATGTCTAACAAAAATATTAAAATAATATGTAGAATCTGATAGCCACTTGTTTCAGTTTTTTTAAAATATAAGTATTTTTTTGGTAGTTATCAACTATACTTTATAGGTTATACTTTATTCTTTATACGTGTAAATTATAATTTAAGGTAAGATTTTAAACAGAGATTATCACTTTTGCTATACTCGGAACACAATGTATATTTTAGTTGTGTTATTTTAAATTTAAATATCT